AGTGGGACCCACAAACCCCTTGAGACGGGGTTGGCACAGCCTGTGAGGCAGCGGATGCTCTGCCACGGCGCGGCCGGACACGGAGGTCTACCTGCCCCTTCCCCAGAGCAACGAGGATGGTGATGGCGGTGCCGAAGGCCTGTGCTTTTGTGCCAGCCTGGCTGGATCGTGCTGCTGAATGGAGGCTGCAGACACCGTGCCTGCGCAAACTGCCACCCCAGTGCTTCCAGGGCGAAGCAGCAGTGTGGTCAGTGCTTTTTTTTAAGTTTTTTTCCCCTCCTCTATCCCTTTTTGGGGGGGAAATGATCCCTTTTCCCACTTTCCTACTCCCCCTTCCTCCTGGCACAAACTCCGCTGTGGGTGTTGTTAAGCAGCGGCAGCCTTTGGGACTCCGGAGGTGCTTCCGTGCAGCACTGACACCCGGCGGGAGGGGTGACCCGGTGTGCACTGGGTGAATCCAGCTCAGCAACAGCTACTGGATGCGGTGACAGCCCCGTGGCTGCAGCGAGAGCTCATTGCATCCAGGCGGCAGGAACGGCTGCATAGCTTGAAGACAGATTTCTCTCGCAGGATCTGTTCAGTAGTGCATGTCTAAATATGTCCAAGAGCCCCGAACTTGGCTTGCGCTCAGCATGCCAAGCGAATGAAAGCATCAGAGCACCAGAAGGAAACCTAAGGTTGTGCTGAAGTGCCATTTGCAACAAAAATTCCAAACAGAGGGGAAAAAAAAAATCTACGCATCGCCCCTTTTTAAAAAAAATGAGCAACGCAAAACCAAACCGGAAAGGGAGAAGGTGGCTGAAGAGGCAGTTGCTTCCCAAACCTGTTGGGAGTTTGGGGCCGAGTTGGACTGTTCACAGCCCCTCACATGGGAAGGAGAGGAACCCCTGCAAGCAGCGCCTGCCTGGCTTCTGGAATGAAAAGCAAAGACAAAAAAAGCCCTGGGAAAAAAATACATGTTGGCTGGGACTTTGAGGTCAGTTTGAGGCAATGACGACACCTCTCTTGGCTAGCTGGGGGCTCTGATTTATGGATCACATTGAGTGTATTTAAGTGACCACGTCTGACAGGCAAGTGCTACATCATGGACCCGATTGTTTTTAAATAGCTACAACCAGTGGCACTTTATCAAAAGGTCTGCAGAAACCTTTTAAAAAGGATTCTTACTCTTACAAGTCAACCTGGGACAAGCCCAGTTATTTTTTTTCCGATGTTGATAAACTGTAAATGTTTTTTTTAAAGAGGCCAATGTATATATTTTAAATGTGATTTATTATATATATTTACTAACCAGAACTGCAAGTCTTGTACTCTGGGGTCAGGGATAAGAGGACACTGGGGTGGAGCTGTTGCTGTCTGAGCCACCTGAGGGCAGCACCACGCTGCTCTCATTGTTAATAAGGGAATTAAACAATTGATTTTGCAGAAGAATGCCTATTTTTTAAGCTCTAGATCTCTATTTTGAAGCTACTGTATGGTGTGTAAGTTATGTACACTGAGACTAACTGACCCCAGCTGCACCTGCTCCGTGCAGCAAGACAGAGAGGGGAAAAAATAGCCCGTGTAATCACCAGACTGACAACAGATTTTAAACCATCTGCTCTGTTTGTGTTAATCGTGTGTTTTCCACTAACATCCATTAAGACTAAATTCTATTAAACAGTGGGGCATATTTTACCCTTTTGATAGTTTTGCTTCGTGTCCTTCTTGTCAAATTGCACAAGCTTGTCTCCTACTCACTCTGAACGTCATCGAGGATCACCTTTATGCTGCCCCTTCGGTGCTTAAGATCTGGGCTTCATCAGATAATCTGCGCTGGTAAGAGTCTCGCTGTCGCCTCCAGCGATGTCAATCTGCAGTTTGAGTCTCAGAACTGTGCCAGTAACGTGGCGACAGTGCTGGGGACCACCGCTACCTTCCAGTGCCCCCCTGCCCAGCTTTGGGAACATCTGAAGCCTCCGTCACCCCTGCACGCCAAGCACAGCACTCCTGGCTCCTTTGCGGTGATCAGAGCGCGGCTGCGGCGATGCCAGCGTCACGCAGATCGCGAAGCCCCGGCCTCCTCGTCTCGCCAGGCTGCTTTGTCCAGTGCCTGTCCCAGCTCCCCCCCAACCTTCCAGCTTCACGCCGTGCCGCCAGCCATGACCAAGCGCCTGGGAACAACCACGCGTGCTGGGCCTGGGATCCAGGAGACCACGAGGTAAGCAGACTGTTACTCCGCAGGAAGAGGCGTTCAGAGCGAGTCGCCCAGAACTAAAGTGGGAAAAAGTGCCAGGATCGAGTCCCAGGAGCATGAAGAGCTCGGGCTGTGCCCCTGCGGCAGGTGAGCCAGGCAACGTTCACGTTTTTACCTCCCTCCCACTCTCACTGCGTCTGTTATCCAAGACAATCATTTATTGCCGTTCGTACACTGTGGGTCTGGGTTTGTTTCTTTTTTTTTTATACAATTTACAAGTTTTAATACAAATCAAGTATTTTTACATACATCCCAAAAAAAGTTTTAATATAAAATATACACCATTTAAAAACATCTTGATGTAGGAAATTTCTTTCTGAAGCCGTGCACCCTGACCCTTGGATCCCTCCATGGTCAAGGGAAGGGCAACATTGGTGAGACCATCCAGAAGGCTTCATTCGTACACCTCAGCTCCCTCCAAGTCTCGCAGGCGAAGGAGGGTGCAGGAAAATAAACATTCGCAATCACCCAGAGAAAGAAACCTTGGAGGTTCCTCCTCTAGAGGAAGGTGTAGCCAGCAGGAAGCCCCAGTATCTGCTGCCTTTTATCACCTACAAGTTAGTGGCATGTGGCAAGAGCCAAGATCTGTTCGGGAACGTTGTTCTGTGGGAACAGCAGTGAGGAGCTCAGTGCTGCCTCTGACTCCAGCTCAGTTTGGCCCTAAAGGTGACCCCCCACCTGCTGCCTGACCCCTGGCATCAAAAAGAACAGCTGATTTCTCAGGTGCCAGGGGGAACGGAGCTGGAGCCAGCATTCAGTGAATGAAGTGAGACTGAGAACAGCGCAGCGTGTTCTCCCTCAGCCAGGCAGCTCCACAAGGCTGCGAGGAGGGAAGGCAGAGCTCAGCCTGGCCGGCAGCCGTGGGCACGCTCCAGCGCGAGCAGGAGCGGTGGGTACTACAGTGTCGCAGAGCAGCCCCGCGTTCCCCCGTGAGCTGGCTCCCTGCCCCAGGGAATCCAAACAATCTCCAGCCTTAGGAAGAGGGTCCAAGGCCCTGAGCACCCCCAGCTGCCCCCCTCCAGCATCCTCCACCCGGCCTCAGCGCTGAAGCTGGCCCTACCCCTGCTTTGCTCTCTCACCAGACCCACAGCAGGGAGGAAGGTATTGCTTAGAGACACGCAGCATGTGCTCTCTGGTTATGCTGAAATGGAAGGAAGACAAGTGGAGCAGCGGCAGAGCAGAGCCTGGGGGGTCCCAGCCAGCTCCCTGCCTGCCAGGAAAGGACCATCAGCTGTTTGCTAAGTCTCAGGTACCAAAGTGTAGGCAACAGCTGTAACCTGTAGTGCTAATATTGAGAGCAAAACCAGTGCTAGGATCTACCAGCTTTAGCCAGTTTTTAGAACTAGGGAGTAAACATCTCCACAGGCTGCAAATATTTCGGTAGGCAAGCCCGTGTGCTCCTGCGTGGCCCTGACCGTCAGCCCACAACAGCACCAGTGTTCCCAGTACAGCTGTTCAGAGCTCGAGAGCACTGCTGCATTGGGGCAAACGGTGGTTCGCAGCAGCCCTCAGGGGAAGGTTTCCCCGAGCCAAATGAAGACGAGATCACCAGAAAAACAGGGCACAGATGTGAGGGCAGTGGCACGGAGGGGAAAGATGACCAAACACCGTCACAGAAAGACGTGATGAGAGGGGTTTCCCTGTGCCTTGGAGAGTGAACACCAGATGCAGCACAATCCCAGTTCTGGGAAAGGAGCCTCCACCAGCTCAGCGTTAGTCACAATGTTGAGATGCAGACATCCTGCCTGGAGAGACATCCCCCCACTCCGCGGCAGGATAAGCAGGTCTCGGTTTTATCTCTGGCTATGGCCACCTTAAGCAGGCATTTTAGTGAAGCAGAACAGCAACTCGAATCACAAAAATGAGGACAGTTATAAACCTCTCTGGGGGCTGTTAAAGCAGATAAGAGCTGGTTCAACAGGGCTGGAGGAAGCTGAGCCACGCTGACTCCCTGCGGGCAGGCAGAGCTGCCCTCCTGACTCCCTTTGCACCAGATCGCTCAGGTCAAACGCGGGCAGCTTTTCTTAAATCCCCATCTCATCCCTCTTCTGAAGCCCTCAACAGCCGGCATGCGGCTACAGCAACAACGCTAGAGGGCAGGGCAGGCACAGCCTGGCCATCGCAGGGGCTTTCCCAGCCCCCTGCCAGAAACCCCTCCCCGTGTCCCCTTGGGAACGTGACCTCCAGTCCGCAGCCAGCACCCAGCGCTCCTGGAGCTGCAGGAGATGGCTTCTTTGCCCCAGGACACAGGGACAGGGAGGCGGGTGAGGGCACGCACAGGCACGCACACACGCATCGGCCAGGGAGCAGGCAGAGATGGAAAACCAAAACGGGTTTCAATAGAGATCTCTTGCTTCAGCAGCTCCGTGTCTCCCCCACTGGCCTCAGATCCTCCTGCCAGGTCCACGAAACCCATCTGCTCACACAGAGGGAAGGAGCCACTTCATTTCAGCATCACCATGATACTAACAAAACCCTTTAGTAATAAATAAATAAAGGAAAAGCAGCCTGAACAGCCAGAGGAGCTTTTGCAGGCTCCCTTGAGAGTGCCCTCGCAGGCTGGGGAGGGGCTGCATACCTGCTGGGGGGTCCTGGTGGCAGTGCCCTGCCTGGGCACCCCTGGAAGGTGCTGATGTGGTTTTGCAAGGAGGCTGCCTGGTTTGCATGTGTGAGGGAAAACCCCCCGAGCCTTTGGTGCAGCCACTCTCCTAGTGCAGGATGTGGCTGTGTGGCCCTGGCTCCAGGGAACTCAAGCTGGGAGTGTTTAAAACGGTGAATTCATCCCCAGCTTTGTTTCAAACTGCAACTTCTGCCTCTTCTGGTAACGGACCCGGACCCTGGAGAAGGCAGAAGAAAAAAGAGAGTCAGCATGTGAAGAGGCGAAAGGCAAGCACAGCTGCCGCACTGCAACTCCTGGGCTGGTACCCTGGGAGAGGAATCAAATCCAGAAAGCAACCTGTGGACTCAGTCCTACCCCATCCGGCCACGTTCCACCTCCAGGGCCACCAGAGACAGCAGAGAAAGGTCCAGATATCCTTGCCAGGAACAGAGAGAGCATCTCTGTCCCCATCAGGGTTCCCTGTAATCCCAGTTGCTTTTCCTCACCAACACATTTCCTGAATCGACGCTCATTAGCGTTAACTCCCAGCCCCGGCTGCTCCCCATGCTAGGAAGAACAGCCAGTCTCTTTGCCTGCTACTAATTCTTGGCTTCAGCCACTTCCCGTGAAAACGAGTCCCACAGTCCAGGCACTGTGTGAAGACGTATTTCCTCTGCTGTGATTCAATGCCTCTCTGTCCCCATGGGACGAGATGGAGAGAACAGCCCTCTCCAATTCCATACTGGTATTTCATAGACCTTGGCTGTCTCCCTCTCATTGGTTTGAGATAAGGAAATTCTGGTCTCCCTTCCTGCTCCCAGTCACTGCCACTGCCCTTCCCTGACCCTCTTTCCTCCCCTGTGCTTCCTCCCCAAGAGGTGGAACATGAGCTTGTGCACAACAGCCAGGTGACCTGCACAATGCAATCATCTTTTCCTTTATATTCCCCACCCTGTTCCCTGTGCATCATTTTTCTACAGCTCAAGGCCAGGCTGGAGTGAGACTACAGCCCTTTCTCCCCATATACCCTAGCCCCATACCTGATTTCGTGCAGCTTGACAATCTCATTGATGATAACCACAAGAACTAAGGAAAGAAAACCCAGGAGCCACGAGACCGGAGAAATGGAAACGTGGTTAAAGGTCAGTGAAGAGTTGAGGTTTTCCCAGAGTTTCAGGTCCAGCGCAGTCTGTGCCACTTGCCCCAGCAATCTAAGATGGGAAACAGAGAAAATCTCATCAGAGCTAACAAGCTTCCTTGGATCTGGGGGTTGGGGTTCAGGCCCAGATGTAACACTCCTGAGTTCACAACAGACCAATTCAGCAGTGGAGAACAACTGCCATGTACTATCACTTTCCTCAGCACCAGCAAACTAGCGCTGGAGCCGCTCCAGAGCTCTCCTTCCTGGAGATGAGGCACTCTGGAGTGCTCATCAGGGCCTGGGGATACTCACACAACAGCCACAGTGAGCGTCCACCACCGATTGGAGAGGGGGCTCTTCTTCCACAGCGGCTTGGTGCGATGGACATGAGTGATGGATATGAACACTGTGGGGACAGATGGAAGAGGGGGTTATTTAGCACGACACTCAGATACGCTTTACAGTATACACCAACAGCTCTTGTTCCAAAGGAATACGGGGTTTCTGTCCCTGTAAACAGCCTCTAATTCAAGGTCCTTTTAGACCAGACTCCCCACAGTAATTCAAAGTCCCAGATACACAGGGTGCAGCGGAGTGCAGTAGTAGCACTGCACAGGAGGATTACTCACTGTAGGGATGCTAAGGGTGGTTTGCAGCTCATCATGCTAAAATAGATCAGGCAAAGGACCAGAACTAGGGAGCCAGGGGTAGGCCTGCACCAGTGGAAAGCTCCAGCCAAGGGAGAAATATTTAGCCACCAACCCACAACTGTCTGCACAGGACAGAGCACTCGCTCAGCTTTTGCTTGGGCTCTTCAAAACAGCATTTCTCACTTGCCAGACCAAGCATCCCTACTCAGCCTCAGTAGTCTGAAGGACATAAACCAGTAATGCAACAGTGCCTCTCCCTAGAGCAGGGCTGCCTTTCAAATCAGGAAGTATTTCTGTTGGTGTGGACACACCACACATCTCAACAGGCAATGCTCTGCCTGGCGTCTGGTGGAAAGGGAGCAGAAACCCTTTAAAAGGTTGTCAGAGAGCAGCTGGAGCTACTCTCCTATACACAACCACGTGCAGGTGAGGAGAGTCAGCCAGGAGCCGCTCCCGCCCCTCCAGAGGGTTTAAAAAGGCTTCCAGCTCCAGGGGAGCTGTAGTTGCACCAGTGCTGTTTATGTGAAGGAAGTGGGGTGCTTTGCTGAGTGGTGGTAGGTACACAAGGATGTTTGAGGTTGGGACTGTTTCTGGAGAGCTGCAGGATGCTGCTGGCTGATTCGCAGTACAGAGAGTTGGTGCTCTTCTGGTGAGGCAGGAAAGGAAGCAGCGCTTCGCCAGGCTGGTAGGAAGCAGAATCAGCTCTGAAGGTGGTGTCTGTGATCTGTTAGGGCAACGTTTAGTAACACAAGGGGCTTTATGCCTGTGCCACTGCAGTGTCTGCGTCTACCAGAGCTTGTGCTCTGGCATGGGGGTAGAGAAAAAGGCAATGGATGCAAGTTTTCCTGCAGAGTAGGGAATGGGGGCCTCAGAACAGGGACTTACCTGTGTGTAAAACAACCAGGCCAGCTGTGAGCTTCTGGGCTACAAGAAGAGCATTGGAAAATGTCCCAAACCAGTCAGGAGCACCATCAGCATTGCTAGTGGATGAGAGGACACGGGAAAGAAGTCAGCGGTGCAGACTTACTACATGAGCTGTCCCCACCAGGGTGATGTCCTCCTCTGATAGCTGAGAGAACTAGGTATGAGCTTGGAGTCACATTGCCCTAGTACCAAGAGGCATCAGTGAGCAAAGATGGAATTATTAAGGCTATCTAGAGGGAGAGCACCCAGCCCTCAGCTGTGTCATGCAAGAGCCTGAAGCCAGTTAGAGAGGGATTGGTCCTACCTGGGAAAGGTAAGAGCGACAGGCCCTGCAAGGTGAGGGGGGGATGTGCCAGGCTCAGTTCCTCACCTGTGCAGCATGATGGAAGAGCAGGTTGTGAGATTGAGGCTGGTAGTGTTCACTTCTTTGCAGGACTCGTGCAGCGTGAACCCGAAGCAGATGAGGCAGGAGCAGATGGTCAGGCTGAAAAAAAAAGGAAGTGGTGCTGAGGCTGTGAACAAGGGAGAGGCAGGAGGGTGACATGGGCATGTCACTGCCCCAACCTCCCTACCCTGAGCCATCAGGGAATCAGTGGCTGCAAAGAGGAGCTGTACTACAGATGAGATGCTGCACTGGGGGTCTGTCCTATGAGCCTGCTGGCATCAAGGGATTCCCTTCCTGTCCATGCCAGGCTTTTGGATGGCATGGCTCATGCCACGGATCCATTTACCAAGCAAGCTGGGAAGATAGAGGGCCTCAGCTATGCATCAACACTGGGATAAAGGAGGGAAATATAAAAAACAGAAGGGAAAAATGTATGAACACTTTTAATCTGACGGTTCACCTACCTTCTTAGGAATGGAAGTCAAGTTTTTTCCTGTTGCCATGGTCATGATGGAGCTGTGAGGAGGCTTGCCGAGGAGCGAGATGCTGGGGAAAGGTAAGTTAGTCTCTCAGTAACAAGTTCAGGCACCATGACTATTGAGTTTTTGTCTAACATCTGAATCCAAATAGACTGCTTGGAGTATCAGCACTTATCTGGCCACTGGCTTAAGCATATGCTGTAAAAGGTGTAATTCAAGGCAGGCATCAACAGGGAGAAAGGTGAACTCCCAATGTTGATGTGGGTAAACACCAACTATGGTACCCTGGTCTCTGTCTGACACCCTAGGCTCTCCATACTCCAGCCAGTGCAATAGTGTCAGGATTAGAAAATTATTTTCAGCTGGGGGTTCAAGCCACAAGATAATAAATGGCAGCTCTCGGACAGCAGTACATAAGTGCTCCCATCTGTGTTTCCAAGCACCTTGGAAGCAAGTTCTTGGAAAAATCCTTGCAGCCTTCTTAGCATGCTCTGGGTGACGTCATCTTTCTTTTAACACGGACACAGTGAAGCTGGGGGACTGGTCTGTGCATCCTGTGGGTGGGAGTCAGGAGATTCCACGCTGTCTGATAGACTCACCTGAGCAGTGGGTAGCAAAAACAGGAGAGCCACACAATGTCTGTGGTACTGAGGATGGGGGGCAGCTGCACCAGGCAGGACAGGAACTAGATGGGAACAATCCAGAGTGAAGGGTATGAGCAATGCTAGGACAATCTTGTCACTCAAGAAGCCACAGCCCTCCCCCAAAACACTGGGACAAGCTGCTAATTAGGCTGCTGCTGTACAGCTGGGGTTGGGAATGCTTTTCTCCAGGGAAAAAGGGTTTGACAAGAAACCTCTGTAGGAGTGGCAGGGAGAAGAGGCAATGCAGGCTGAGATCATACAGTATTTATCTATATATCTGATCTAACTTCCCCAAACATACTCTGTAAACCCGACTGAAGGCTACCTTCCTCTCTCACAAGGCCGCTCCACTGCAGCCACCTAAATCCATGCTAGCACTCCAGTCCTCATAGCTAAATGCTGTCCCCAGCCAGGCCAGGACTCACCTGAATGACAACCAAGGTCAGCTGGCACTGCAGCAGGAAGAGGAAACACTTGCGGATCCCATACGTTGCATGCCTGGCCTGGAAGGAAGCACAACCCTGAGAGCCCTCGCTTTGATGGGAGCAGTTATCGGCCAAGAGCAATTATTGGCAGGCAGGGGCAGAACATGTGGCCTGCAGGGGAAGTGGGAGGGCAGAGGATCTGGATGCTTTGTGAGCAAAAGGGGAAGGTCTCTTGCCTAGACATAGAGGTTTTGAAGGGAAGGCAGAATTCAGCCAAGGGTTAAGTTTGTTTAAACCTCTTGGCTTTTCTGAGATAACACTTTTCTCCAGCACTGTGTTGCTGTCTGGCCAGGGATCTCTGCAAGTTTATGCTTTATCCAGCTGAACTATATCCATGCTCTTTTGTTGCCGTGAGGCACCATTCCCAAATGATCCCCCTTACACCTCGGCAGGAAGAGCATCTCTGCTTCCTGAACAAAGGACAGAAGACACAAGCAAAGCTAATCTTGGCAGCTTATCTTGGACAAGTCGATAAAAATGATCACAAGAGCTTTGCTCTTCATGAGCTGCAAGCAGAGGAGTGAGTGCTAGAAGAGGGGCTGTGCCTGGCTTACCTGCTCTATAAGCCTAATGATGCTGGTACTCTCTTCTTGGCGGAAGGACATGGAGCAAGGCAGGCTATTGAGCTGCCCTGAGAGCTGCAGCGGGGTGAGCTCCTCAGAGCCATGAGTCATGGTGGTGCTGGTGGCATAGCCAAAAGTCTCCCAGGAGCAGCGAGATGGGTAGAGAGGGTCCAGCGCTATACTGCAAGGACAACACAGGAGCATAGCAAAGGTCCTTATCCCAGAGGAGAAAGTAAGTTTCACTGCAGTCCAGCTCGTAAAGTCGTGCTGTGCTGCGCCATGCTACTTCTACCTACCTTGCTGAAGGAGAAGTCCTAAGCTATGTCATGAATGGAGGATCAGTCTCCCTAGACTTTCAGTTATTCCCAGAAAAATAATGAACATATTTGGGTTTGGGCCACAAGGTCAATAAATTGGCTGATCCAGAGGGGCATTTCCACTCTTCCACCCAACAAGGAGCATCTGTAATGCCAGCTGATGTACAACAGCTCAGCATGCAAGAGTAACCTCTTCCCTTTCAAAGATGGAGAGAAATACCTCTGTGTCAAGGGATCTAGGCAGTCGCCCAATCCAATACTGCCCAAATCTCCTTTACGGAGACAAATGCAGCTAATAATGAATGGAGCAATTGTGAGCACTCCCCTGCAGAGAGATCTGGTGTGATCCATGGCTGGGTACTTGCTAAGCTCAAGGTAAAGGCAGCAGGAGTCTGGATCCTGCCCCACCTGATATCACTTTGTAGGAAGAGGCAGCTGTTCCGCAGGTTGGCAGAGCTTCCCAGACAGCAAGTCACCTCCCCGTACTCCTGCATGATCTTGATCATCTCACACATGGCTGCAAAGGGACAGAGGGAGAAACACAGCGTGTTATCTCGTTATACACACAAAGATGTAGAAACTCTTTCCAGTCTGGCAAACGAGCAGTCAGACCTTTCAAAATTACCTCAGCTGATATTCATCAGTCATGTATAGTGAGCTCCAAAGTCCAAGTACACAATTAGATATCTAATTAATTGCAGTCCAAGTGCCCTGTGTATCTGCCTCCTTGCAGGAACTGAGCATGCGATTCACAGAACTGCGACCCACAGGTTTGCATCTCTAGCGCTTCTCTTTCACACCAGAGCTGCAGGTATAGCCTGGATATGTAATACAGATCACTTCAGCATCAAATGGTCTTGTAAGAAAACAGCAGAAATTAAATAAACCTAAAGAATCAAACCTAAAATAAATACACAATCTTAAATTGTGCTCAGCAGAACATCATTACTGTTCTGAGTCTAAAGGAATGGGGTGGAATACAACAAACCACTCCAGAAAGCAGTGCTGCACTTAACCACGCTCAGAGCCATCCCCTGTTCCTGGGCTGCCCCCACTACCTCTAGCCTCATCAGTCTTTTCATCCCACCTTCCTGAAGCCTCTAAACCAAAGCTGCTGTTTGATCTGACTTCTCTCCTGTAGCTCTGTGCACAGTGCTCTGACTGTATGAATTGTCTAGAGTGCTCCAGGCAAAAATATCCCCAAACAAGCCAACAAAAAAACAAAATAAGCCCATCCTCTGCAGATTCCTGTGTTAAGTAACTTCTTTAAATGACTGGTGCAGCCAGATCTGCAGCACAGCAAGGGGTTAGATGAAGTGGGGAAATGCACTTTTGTGAAAAACAGAGGTAATCTACTGGGCACTTACTGCTTAGACTGGGCTGTAACTGGTTCTCACTGGCCCTCTGTAAGCTGTGCCCAGAGGTACCTAAAATACCAGATCATTATGACGCTTAGTGCTTTTACAGTAGGCTGGACAGGTATTAGCCAGCTAAGCACTTGGCCCCTTTCTTAGATAAAAGAGTATCTCACAGAGAGATACAAAATTTTGTGCTTTCTGGTGTCTGCAATCAAAAACTGCGCAAAGCAGCAGAAGGCGTTAACAGCAACTGTCAGAGGAAAATTCTTCTGGGAAGTGATTTCCGAGTTATATAAGGCATGGAGGGGTGTGAGCAGAGATCAAAGTCTCCCAGTGAACTGATAATGCTTATTTAGTAACAGGCAGCAGCATTTCCGATGTTTGCTTTTGTGTCTCTTGGAAATGCAAATTGAGAGGAGTGGTTCTTAGCCCAATTCTATAGCTAGGGAACAGCTGCCTTAAAATGAAGTTAACACCTGGCTTCCCACAGTGAGCAACAGAGGGTCGTTAATATCAAAATGCCTTTCTAGATTTCCGGACTGGACCTCCTTCCTTTCACCATGTCCACGCCCAGATGAGCCAGAGCAAATGGATGGGGAAGGTATTCCACGAGCAGTAGTAGGATAGACCCAGGCTCTGTGTCACTTACTCTCTGGGGTGCAGTCTGTGAAGAGAGGCACCAGCAAAGGCACATTATCTATGTTCTGCAGGTGAGGTCTCACCTGGTGGATCCCCCGTGGGAGTTTGGCCTGAAACAGAAAAAAGAGACTAAGCAGGAGAGTGTGTGTGTGAGGGAGAGGCATTTCAGAGGGAACTGCTGAAATGAGAATTACAATTCCCAGAATTATGCAACTGCACATCAGATACAAATTGATGTCCCTGCAGACAGAAGCTAGCTTTCCCAAGCCGCTGTAAAAAGTCTTCTGCTAAAGTTCTACTCTGACAGGCCAAGTCATCTGTGCTTGCCCTCAGGGTTTGTAAGATCAGCACGATAAAGCCCTGCTCAAGGATTTCTAAGGACTTTTTACCTGTGCGGAGAATCCAGTCAGAGACTATGTGCTGTTTCCCAGCAACTAGATCTGTTTCAATTGCAGCCACATCAGCATGCTGGCGAGGGAAGGATTCTCACTTTCTAAAACTAGGCAGGAACAGCTTGTCCTATGCTCGGACTACTGGGCAGCACCAGCCATGGCTCACAGCTGGAGGAGAGACAGTTTCTTCTGTCTGCATGGAACGTAGGGGTGTTCCCACTCCCTGCTCAGCATATGGGAAGGGGACCCAGATGGACTGAGATGCAGCTCTCGAGGCTACCCCGTGTGTGGTCATCTCCATTCCTACACTCCAAAGAAAATACCTGTTCAGCAAAACTGAGAGAATACCAAATTCCCCACTCTTTAGGTACCAAGCTGGAAGAGGGTAGAACTCAGAAGTCCCAATGCAAACCAGTCAATCTACCTGCTTTGAAGAGGAATTCCCTCTGGGAGTAAAGCAACGATAATGTTGACCATGAGAACAGCACAAGATGTGTAGTGAAAGGGGGCCTCACCCTGTTACAGTCCTCCAGGAAGCTGGGGATATCGCTGTCTGTTGGCTGAAAGCTGATGAGATCCGAGTGCCCTTCCTCTTCCATCAGCAGAAGCCCCTCCACATCATCTCGAGAAACTGGAGCAGAGAGAAGTAGCACCAACAGTAAGCACAAACCTGCCCCTGCCACCTCTGTGCCACCCATGTGGTATATTCACGTGGCGCTGCAGAAACTAGGAAACGTGAGGCCTGATTTTCTAGGTTAGCAACACTTGGATCCCACCCAGTCATCTAAAATGCAGCATTTTTAGATGACTAATCTGCTCAGAGGTAGATGTGTGAGCCTAGTCTCTGCTCTTTTGAGACATGAGAGCTTAGTTCTGTGCTCTTATTCCAGGGGCAAAAAAGAGAGTAAAGAAATTCCACCTGAAGTAAGAAAAGAGAGTAATGCATGGGCAAGAGACTCTCAGTGGCTTGACCCAGGGCACCAGCGAGAACCAAAAGCACTGAGGAGCAGTTGTAAAATTGTGGCAGGTGGTGCACAGAAGAATGTTTGTTTCCAACAACTGCAATACTGACTGGGTCGGCAAGGCTATAAACGTAAGGCGCTCTTGCGCACGCCTCGAACCCATCCAGTTTTGTGCTCAAAGCTCTGACGAATCAGGTATCTGGTGAGGACGCAGAAACCTATGAATGGGTTTAAAAGAACCATCCAGGAAACATCTGGCATTCAAAGTGGCTTAGGAGCAGTTCGCTCACCCTGATGTAGGTCATCATGCAGAGAGCCAGCGTGGCTAGGGCTCGAGGGAGGGATCTCTGAACCAGGCACATCACCATTAGGCGTTAAAGATATATGGCAATTCCAGCCGGTCTCGAGACCCATCTTCTCAGCAAACACCTGCAGGTGAGGAGACACAAGATTTTAGCGTCACTGTCCAGGCCAGAGTACTGCAGACCAACGGCATATTGGAGCACAGGTACCTTCTGGACCTACTAGCCAAATCAGATTAACCTTAGATTGCACTAGAGCTAAACTCTCCAGTCAGACAGGCAGGGGACATGCAAGGTCAGGGGGCTCAGCAGAGACCGCTTACCTTGCTTTTGAGCTCATCTTCCAGGGAGAAGTAGACAAAACGAATGCAGGCATTGACCAATCCATCAATGAGGCGGACAATGTCGAGACGGGCCTGATACTGAGATGAGACCATTCCCATGAAGATCTGTCCGCTCAGAGCCTGGATACAGTCTTCCTTCTCCATCACTTCCCCAATCCCTTCTTCAGGCATGCAAACAACACACAATCCCATTGAGACACGAGGGGCCACGTGGGCGTCAGACATAGCACACGTGGTGGGAGAGGCCACCAAGATAACATCCAAGGACACAGCACCCAGATACATAGAAACATGCAGATACACACACACACAGGAGGAAAGTTAAAGAGAGATCGATTTGTCCCAGCATACCCAATCACGGAAGCGGTTTCAGGACATCCCCACATATGCGACCAAACAGCGAGCATGGAAAGGAAAAACACAAAACAGGAGACAGGGATCAGTCACAAGGAACCGGGGCAGAGAGGTAAAGGATGCGTGCTGCCTGATGTTCACATGTGCATTTTAAACACATCGTACTGTGCTTAAATAACATGGTGAGTCTAGTGGAGGCCAAGTGGCATCAGAGTACGGGGGACTGATGCAAAGGAACTAGATTATGTTCCCTCCAGTGACATTGCAGATGCTCCCAAAGAGCCCGCAAAGGCTCTTTGACAGGTTCCTTCACCATCACCAGATCAGCCTGTGGTGAACAGGAGCTGGATGCAGCCCGAGGAACAAAATAACAGAACACTTCGCTGTCACAAAATTTTCCACAGGTGGGACTGAGAAGTGTTCTGAAAACACTCAGCCACAACTGCCTCCCAGCTGTTGGAAACTCCATTATTCACATTTTGCACAATGGGAGACCGTGGCAAAAAGAGATTAAGATTGGCTTTCCAAAGGAGCCTCCTAGAGTTATGTAATGGTATGTGCTTATTTCTCAGTTTTTATTGCTGTTCTGGAGATGATGTACAATTCATCTAGTGGGAATCACTTCTGTCAGCACAGCAACAAAACCCATCAAGGGAGAATAGTCGTGTACCACCATACATCTAATTCCTTTGAAAAACCCAATGTATGTGACGTCCATAAAAGCAAACCAAGTATTGAAATACCCAGAAGTCTCGACTCTCAGTTGCCTACTTTAAGAAACAGACTTCCCACAACTAGAAGAACTTCTCTGCAAGTTTCAAAAACTACAAAAATACCTACCAGCTGCTACATCATTACTTCCTCTGGAAACGCATCTACTTCAGAGGCCTTTAGTTCTCATTGTCCATCTGCTACTTGAAATAACAATGTTCCTACAGCTCTAGACTGATCAGAAAGCAAGCACCTGGACCAGGAGCCGACTTTATTATAGACAGCACAGAAGACACATACCATCCGAGCTCCAGCTGTTCCTCCGACTGCTCTGTTTGATGGGCGTCGTCCCAGGGAGATCACAGCATGTGAAAATCGCGCTCTGCCCAGGGACCTGCACCAGTTCTATGCACTTGCCGTTGAGCTGGGAGGACAAGGCACAATGCATTGGCTTGTACGCAAAGGCAGAACAGTATCCTGAGAGGCAGGCTCGCTGGTAGAAATCTAACACCTTCTTCCTATTCAGAAGAGACAAAAAGCAGATAAAGTTAGCAGAAATGTGCCACGTTTCTGACAAGGTACGCTGCAGTTCAATGTAGAAATCACCAGCTACGTATCTGGAAAAACGTATTCCACGAGGAGTGGTCAGAGACTCTGAAAGGGCTTTCCTTGCTGTTTCTGTATTCTCTGAGCTGCAGACACTACAGGGCAATAAAACCACGTATCCCACCAGGGGCAGTGATGAACATTTCTGTTTGCTCATTGGACAGGTTGATGAGTATGAACACTGCACTCTTTGAATACACTTATTAACAGTCTGTGCTCTATAGGGGTGCCAGATGATTCCAAGGAAGTTCACCGCATGACAGCAGAAGCTTAATTCATCAGTGAGAATTTATCTGTAGGGAGATAAACACCAAGGAGGGAACTGACAACTCTGATAACAGTATCTATGGCAGAGATAGTTAGAGATTTTTCTCCTATCCCCTGCCAGAGTTTGGGTCCCAGGAGCTATATGTGAAGTCTCCATTCAGTCACTGGAATACTATCAAGTTCCTTCTCTGGGTTGGACTCACAAAGGTAACAGATTAGATTATACCTGGGATTTTTCACTGGTTTCTAGATGATAAATATTTCGAAAAGGACTAGTAGGAGTTTTCTTGCATGCAGGGTTAAGCAGACTTAGAAGGACAATGTACTGCTAGTCAATGAAACTAGATATTACTGGTCCGCTCTGCTAGCAGGAACAGAAATTTAGCTGATAGATGAAAATATTAGAGACACTGTCAGATATTGCAGCAGGATTAAAAGGGTGTGATGCATTGTGGTGGACTGTTTTGAAGCTGTCAGGAGCAGGTAGGAAATGAATACTTTGCATTTCATGTAATGTGAGGCATTTATCTTAACAAAAAAAATTCTCTGCCACAAGCATATGACCTGATTATAATTCATGGTCTTACTACACCATACAGTCAGAGTGCACTTATAAGAGGTTAATACGTTAACAGATACAGTAGGAAGGATCTCAGCCTTAAGTCCAACAGATTGTTTGTTGCTATCTGATCTTTTAACAGGGCTCTAATTATAACAATTAATTATAAGCAGAGGTGGCTCATGCTCATAATCTACTTGAAGCTTCTACTAAATAGCTTAAAGCGCACCCGTAAAAGAAATTTTAACAAAGAGTGACCAGATTCCCTCTGCAGTTTGTCTGCAGCTCCTGAATGCACCGAATGACAAAGCTGCCCACCTGTCAGAGCCAGAGAGGGGGTAGATATCGGTACCGTCCCAAAAGTCTGTGCAGGCCTCCAAGATGATGTCAGCTGTCCCATGAGAAAACATCTGCTCAGTGCCTGAAGTGTAGAACAATGAGTCAGCATCACACATACAGGCTCCCCGGAAAGGGATATCGTATCAGCTGCTCCCTTATTAAAAGCGAGTGTTCCTGCAAACTGCCTTGATGCACTCCACATATCCCCTTTCCTCTCCTGAAAGTCTTCAGTCTCCATCAAGAAATTATTCGAGACTGGATGATATGTATTCAGCTGCTATTTGTCTAACTGAGTTCACACAAGGCTGTGACAAAATGTGAGCCACATAGTTCCTACTCTTCACTGTTTAAGAATCCTGCTCCTACAAAAGGTGAGATAATATCTTGCTCCTTTATCCAACAGAGCAGAAGAAAAGATATTCCCGTGTGCCTCTTCTCATGAGCGTACAAGCACCAGCAATGAGCCTACGGGGATCAAAGTCTGCCTGCACTGGTAAGTGCATTCAATTTTAGGCCAGGCACGGTTCTAAAGGGTAAGAGCTGTTCTTGAATACCTTCCATTCAAGTAGCAGGAGATAACTGAACAGTGTGGCCTCTTAGATAGCAGCTTGTTTCACAAAGAGTTTTGAAAATGTGTTAAATCAGGACGGGTCAAAAGTTCAATGTAGCAGACTCTAAAAAAGTAACTCAGGACCGGGGAAGAACTGAAAATCAATGGATGCTGCAGCTTGTCCTGTTTTTACTTCTACTACTTTCCTTTTTAATACAGACTCAAAATCTTTTAATCTGTTTTGTAGATAGAGGTGTTAAAAAGTGTTTCTCGAGGGCATGTGATATCAATTGCCCGATGCAGGTCCCTGGCACAGGACACAAGTTAGAGGATACTGGGCTGTCTCCCCCTCCACACTTCCCGCTCCCTTTCCTTTGCATCGAGACATTAGCATTGCACGCACGTAGGCTGCTCTGTCTAGGTTCCCTCCTCCAGCTGCTCTGTGGCTTTGCCCCCAACAGCTTCAAAGCTGATCTAATGAAAAAAACATCACTGCCAGGAAAAATGAACCCAAAAGCTTCTCACAGGCATTGTTGCTGACTGCAAGCACTCAAGCTAGCTGGTAAAATCGAGAGCCAAGAATATCCACACACACAAACCAGGCAGGGACCTTCAGGAACACTGGAGGATTTTCCAAAATATAGCAGCTCTCTGCTTTCTGCTATAAATAGTCACTGCACGCCAAGTTTATCGGCACAACAAACCTCCAAGACAAACAGGAGCTGTGTGTGAAAGAAGGAGCCTGTCTCAGGGACACAAAGGAGTACTTGTGCAGAGCTCTGGTTAATTTTATTGTATAAACACCTAATCCTTCCCACCTTGCTCTATGGTCAGACAGTCTTTGCTAGGAAAGAGGGAGCAAGAGAGATTTATTCATTCATGCAAAACTTGTGCCCCGGACACTGAGCAAGAGCTTGCAGATGACCACACACACAGACATACCTATGTTCACGCCTGACAGCAATTACAACCCATTTCCCACTCAGTATCACCAGCATCCCACAGGACAACCCTTCTGAGGGGTAAATGACAGGGACAACATGCCCTGTCAACTGGAAGGAGTTCATTCAACTGTCGCTGCCAGTGAAACGAGCTCAGTCTCTTCCCTCCTTAAATCATGAACTTGAAGGCCAGGATGTCTCTGGCACATGGCAGAAAACTAATGAATAGGACAGGGAGTATGACTGGCCATTCATTACTGGGGGGACTCGTTAGGAAGAATGAAGCTGCTACAGCTGAGCCAGTGAGAGAGCAAAAGGAATCGAAGAGTGCAGCTACAGCAAAGGAAGATGGAGACGCTATCAAGCCATTTTACTGCACTGAGGATGCCAGTAAGCCCCTCATTTCCATGTGGTTACTATGGATTTGGGATGAACACTGCCAGATGACGAGACACACATTTCAATGGAATAGCAAGGGAACATACAGATACGCTACCTCCTATTTCTGCTACAGCTGTAGAATTTATTATGAATCTCCCTTTGACCTCAGCATTTCAGGGGAATAGGTGGATTCAAAGATTTATTCACACATAATATATTAAGAGAGGTTAGTTATGATCATCTGGTCTGACTCTTCTGCATAAACATTGCCAATTTATCCCAGTTAACCTAATGTTATCTGCATAATTCATTATCTCTGGTTGTACATATTCTAGAAAGTTTCAAGGGACAAGACTATCCTGTAAGAGGTGTTCCAATGGCCAGCTAACCCCACTGGCAAAATTCCTCTCAGAATTTACTCTAGACAGCATAATCCAGGTCACACACGTACTCGTCTGAGCTCCAGCCTCTAAACTAAACCGTTTAAAAACGAGGATAAGGAGTTGAAATGAGGCAACATTAAAGGTTTTCTCCCTGTGCTAAGAATCTCAACATCAAAAACATTCTTGCTCGCAAAGGCAAGATAACAGCGATCAGGACAAATGAAAAAGCTTCTCCCCAGATTAAGATACAAATTTTAGAAGACCTGGGCATGAAATGACAGTTTACCTGGTAAATCTCTGGCCAGCATAATAATCATATTTCAGCTTCACTATTGAACATATGTCAACTCCAGAGAGCCAAGTTCAGTCAATTTAAGATACTATCAAGAGACTAAGAGCTCTGACAAACAAGCTGTTAAATCCTGCTGAGGTGCTTTAAGATCTTACGGTGCCCAGCTGTACAGCCTTTTCATCCCAGCCCATTCCTATTAGAATAGGAGGGAGAAGGACTGGAGAAGTCAGCATGGCTTCAGGTATTGTATTCACAGTCACCGTGAGCTTGTATGGGATTTCTGTGATTTATTAGTATGCAATATAGAAAGAGAGTATGCAAAAACCCTAGACAACTCACGAGGAGAATGATTTATGATGTAGGTTATCAGAAGGATGAGCATCACTAGCTAAAACCCTGAGCAGTATTCAACCCTGTGCAATATCAGCTTCACTACCACAACGCAGTCTATGCAAAACTCAATGAAACCCACACGTGGCTCTGCACTGCTGTTTGGTCCCAGAAAACAGATTTGCTATGTGCTATCCAGGATAATTTTCAAAAATTATTTATGATTCTGAAGAATTCCCACCCTCAATATGCCGTAGCACTGATCACTGAGGTTTGTTGAGCATTATCGGTCAAGGGCAGAGCGAGGCTGTCACCCACAGGGACTCCAGACTCTCTGTGGAAAATATCCTCCCGTACCAAGTGGATTCCCAAAGAAAGAGGTGGCCTTACTGGTTGTGGTGTCCTTCACGAAAAGGTTAATCATGTGGCTCAGGGGTGGTCTCCTCTTGGTGATTGACGAAAGCTTCCCCAGGATTGTTTCCTTAACCATCTCGTCACTTGGCAAGCGGTACAAGGCCAAATAGTTCTCCTGCTTGAAAAGATCTTTAGCACCTGGTGTGAAACCTGAAACATGAACGCAAGTAGCGGAAAAATTAGGCTCTAAGCAAAGCAAAAGAAAGGTCTTCTCTCCTGCTTCTGTGCTACCCACTTTGCCTGTGCTCCTTCTGACACTTCCCCAGCAATACACAGGTGAGACGTGCTCACTGTGCATCTACACCAAGACGGCTCAAGATCTATGGTGAAAAACATTCAGCAGGACTAGACATTATGAGTAATTACAGGTTTCATTCTTTTGGTTCATTAAAATGAGGAACTGTGACACTGAAGGAAAGGCACAGAAGTGAGCTCAAGAGCTTCCGGATTTTAGTCCTAGTGTCACCTCTAACCTCTCTTCTCTCCCATGCCTCAGTTTTCCCATCTATAAAGTAAGTTGAGGTGCTTCACATAATTTATATCCAAGCTGCTGGCAAAGCATTACTGTAAAGACAGGGCAGCTATCTCTCCATTAGCAGGTATTCTTTGTCTCCTGATGAGACTGGCAGACTCAAGCCAGAAGAATACCAAACCTATCCTCGATGACATTTGTTCCTTCGATAACGTCTACAATGTCAGAACCTGCCAAAAAGCAATCTCTTTAATAGACTCTTTTGGCAACCAAACAACATCAGAATCAGCTTTGCAATTCTGCCTTCTCAACAACCAGGACTGGGCGAATACTTTCCTTGTGCTCTCTAAGGATTAAGTGTCTATTGTCAGCTCTGATTTCCCTGTGTCTGCTCAAGCAATTTCTCCGTACCTATCAGCCTGGCAAGCTCACAGAGGCCCCAGGGCACATGGACCGGCAGCACGGCATTGTGAGTTTCCTGGAGGGCAATGTTGCAGAGGTGGTCAGAGAAGCGGCACAGACGCTCTGTCACGCTGGCATTGCAGAGATTGAGCAACACGTTCAAGCCCAGCGGCTTGAGGGAATTCAAGTGCATGTGCCAGTTGGAGTCATCAAACTGGATGCAGGAGGGGTTCTGCTGGTCTTGGGACAGGCTAAGCATCTCGAGGTGGTAGTCACACACGAAGTCTTCAGCCTCACAAGCCAAAACCTCGCTGTCACCAACAACCTGGTCCAACAGACAGGAAAACTCTAGTGTTACAATGAATACAGCTCGAGCATAGAATGGATTTCCCAATTAAATTCCCAGGAGAGACTCTACAGGTTTAAGTTTGTCTTACAGCTTCACAAAAGACTATCTCTGCACTCCTTCAGTATGTCTTACCTGAGTATGTTCCTCTTCTCCACCCTCAGTGTCCTTACTAAAACTCACGTTGGACCCAGAGGGGTGCTTGCTTCTGCTGTTCGGCTTTCGGTGGCCATGGGCATCGGGAGCCTTTGGAGGGTCACTAGACCAGTTGTTCCTCTCCTGCTCATTGCTCATGTGGACTGTGTCTGCCAGGGGCCCAGAGAGCAAAGCATCTCTTTCATGGGGCTGCAAGAGAGCAACAAAATGAACAGTGACGACTCGGTGGCTGAACATGAGCCACTACTGCTTTAAGACTCCTGCAGAAGTGGAGCTCATCCACATTGCTTCTTTATCTTTTACACGAAGAACTGTGCCACGGGACTTCTCTACAAGCAAAGGGCCCCTTCTGTAACACCACGTTGTGATTAGAGCCAACATACTACACTATGGATTATGTATCACTCACCTCATCTTCCACTTCTGGATGGCAGAAAGACCGTGTAGAGAGCTCATCGGTCAGATCTTCATGGCTATCATGAGGTGGTTCCACCTTCCCACTGAAGAACAGAACAGTCTCTGGGCTGGGGTTTGGCCAGGAAAGAATCCCCTGCTTGTCTACACAGCAGAGCACCTAGAACATCCCACAACATCCCCAAGAAAGTAGAATCTCAGTGAAAACATGTCTCAGTGCTCATGAATAGTTGTAAATATCACAAGTTTAATAAACACATGGGAGGACAGACAAGTTTCTCCTTCACCAATCTTCCGTCCTAAGAAACTGGGCCTAACAAACCTCCAAGAAATCTGAGAATTCCTTGCTCTAGCAGGAGTGTCAGGTTGTTTAACACCAACTTTATCTCAGGATATTGCAAAACTAGGCATGAAGACTACGGGAAGGAAGCAACTACTCATCCTGTTTCACCAGCTAGTACCTTATTAGGATGCAAACCAGCTGGTTCTTCAACAGGAGTCAGGAGGATTATGGGACCAGAACTAGAGCTGGAAAATACAGACATCCTGTTAGATGCCACAGAGTGTCTCTAACCATCGATTTAGCCTCTGAATGTGCTGCTTGGACAAGACAAGACAGTTATAAACTCTTCTGCAAAGACAGGTGCCTGAAGGGTTTCTAATTCCAGCACAGTGAACTGATTGCTAACAGCCTATGCTCAGGGAAGGACAACGACGATGTGACCACCACAAAGGAAGCGTCCGCGTAGGGCTCCTCTTTCTGACAAGGCAGCAATACTCACAGTGACAGATCCTAGACTATGGAGCAAGCTGGAAGTGAAGCTCAGCGTTGGAGATTTGCCTTTTAAAACACAGAGGAAGTGGCTCCAGATGCAACGTATCATTTCCTGCCAAGGGAAGCAGAGGACATAAACCAATCAAAGACTCATTCGGTGAAAGATCAGGGGAGAGAAGGAAAAAAAGGGAGTATGACATTACCTGCTTTCAGGTTCAACACAGTGATACACTGTAAGACAAACATCTCTCTCTGTGGGAACACGGTAACTGATACAGTGCCGATGTTCTCAAGGGAAAGGCATTTCTTGCCCCTTCCAGAGGATGCTAACAGACAGCTGGATTGTTGAATTGAGAATTCACTGAAACTACTTTTGTCTATCCGAAAACACAGGAAGGAATTCTGAACTGATTTCATTTGCAGTCAACCAGTTGTTACCCCTTAATATTTTTTCCTAAAATTCATCCCCTTGGATTACAGAGTTTGAGGCCTTAAGTTTACAATCGCAATGCTGCAAATTGGGTAAATGGAGTCGCTGTGAGGTGACTTTACAAGGTCACTTACTGAGGCAGTGACAATGCTGGAGACAAAGTCAAGGTGCCCTGACTACTCCATCGTAATCAACATGGTAATAACTGAAAGGTGGGGATATTTTGCAAGATTAAAATGTCAAGCTGGCACCCTTCATCTTCCAGACAAAAGTGTTTCAGAGGGAGTCTGGATGGCAGCAATCAATACAAGTACCAGAACAGTACATTTTGCTCTTAAAGCCATCAAAGCAGGTTTGCATTACAGTATTATTTTACCACTTTTTAGCTGTTGTTCTAAAATGCTGTCACTGCGGGGCACCTCCTCCAAGGCTCTTTAGATCAAGTTCCTTAGATCCTAAGGGTTAGTACAGCCATAAGCTCAAATGTGAAAAAATCATGGGCCATCACTGGGAAGAAAAAAAGCTCCTCTTTAAGTTACTTTCTCATAGGCAAAAATATTACATAGGTACAAAAGGAAACAAGCAGATCTTTTCGACAGGAAAGGTCAGTTCAAACCACTCCCACTGAACACCTGAGAAACATCTCAGCTAAACGATGAACTAGCACAGAAAGATAACAAAATATTCAGCAAAGGAAGCATGTGTGTTTGCATCCATGTGCATTCCTCTGTGTGGCTGGGAGCAAGGAGATATTAATGGATTCTTGTTTAGGGATTTCTAATCACTCCTGGAATCCATCTGCCTCCTTAAGGAAAGGGGAATCTTAATGCCAGATTAGACAGAAAAGTGTCTTTCCTCTACCCACCTGTTTAATCTGGATGATGCAATTTAGAGAGTGGCCAGATGCAGTTCCTCCCACAGAAAAAGGTCTTCTAAATGTTTATTTACCCCAGCTTTGGAAGCACTAGTAATGTGCTTAAGCTTGTTAAGAAGCCTATGAAACGGGATCAGACTTTCAAAAAGCCTGAACATCCTACGGTCCCCTCTTCACATCTGGCCTTGGTGCTGACTGCCATCCCCTCTGTTCTTTAGTTTTGGCTTGAAGAATAAGGTTTTTCTGGTACAAGTAAAATTGTTCTTCTGTTTCTGACACACACCACGAAAGTTTATCTTATTCCTGGAACAGGGAGACTTGAAAGAGGTACCTTCTTCAGGACAGAGAAACTCAATTTCAAACCATTTGCAATATTCAGGAAAGTACAACTGGGCTCATTATCAAAGTCACCCCAATCTCTGGTCAGTGGAGCAGCATTTACATGGAAAGGGGTAGGGGAGAGACATGCAACCTGCATGCACAGCAAATTAAAGCAGCAAATGAGTGACAATGGACAACTGACACAAGTAAAAAGGATCTAGGAACAAGCAGGAGATCAGAGAGGAAGGGAATGGATAGCACGAAGTTCTGCAGTGAAGATGGAAGAAAACAATTCATAATAATAGTACCTGAGAAGATACCATCTCTGTGTAGCTGCTGAGAGTGTCCTCTGAAAACTTAGCAAGCTGCAGCAAGAGAAGAGACCAGTTACTATAATCATGCTCAAAAATGTGTCATGAGGAACATCCTTCCATAAATACTGTGCCTTCAGAGAGAAGAAAGCCCGAGTCCTGCTCTGTGGGAATCGCTACAGCAAGGCAGACCAATAATTCACCAAAGCAATTAAGTCTTTAATGGACTCTGTCTTTATCTACTTGTGAAGCACAGTCAAAGTGCTCGGTGCTGCACATCACAGAAGATCACACAGTCATTACCTGAATGTCTAGAGAGGAAATAATAGCTGTTAGACCCAGAGGAAGCTCCTTCGGGCTGGTTATTTTCAGACAGAAAGAGCCAGGATTGACTGATCTGTTTTTAAGCTATATGGGTCAGCAAAAAGAAGGGAGCAGGTGCCTGGAACACAGCGGACACAGAGGAATGAGGAGATATGAACGGGATGTGCATAGGAATTGCAAAGAAATCACAGCAGGGCACTACTGTGGGGCTCTTGAAATTACACCAAGAAATTCACTAACTCAAAATTTGTGCATCCAGCATAAAGGAATTCCACAGTAGGTGTGATTTGGAAAAACAGTTTAAATTGTTAGCTCAGTCATTAGAGCGTAGCGCTAACAACGCCAAGGTCGCGGGTTCGATTCCCGTTCGGTCCCCAGGTGTTGCCTGATCTAGTCGAGAGGTGGTGTCCCTGGTGACAGGGAGGCTGGATTAAAATGATCTCTAAGGTCCCTTCCAGCCTAAGCCATTCTATGATTCTATGATTCTAAGTGAATACGGTAATTACATCAGCATGTAAATAAAACAACATGCCAAATAATAACGCATGTATGGGGCATTTTAAAAAGGATCAGTTTAACAAAGCTGAAAAAAGCCCAGACAAATTTGTTGGAAATAATTTAAGCTGAGAACTACGAAAGATAATTGGGAAATGTTTAACGATATTTCATTAACATTTTAAAAAGCAGTAATCCAATAGTAAAAATAAAAAAAGTCCAGTTTTGAGTGAAAGTGAAAACAGAAGTAAAAATTAACATAAAAATAAGAAAAAGTAGGTAATTAAAACCAGTCCGCTGCTTGTCAAAGACAGTGAAAGTGCAAACAGTACTGCAGGGACAGCAGATGCGTTAAATAAATACGGCTATTCTTTAGTCAGTGATATAATCACAGCATACGATAACTATGAAGTACCTTTCGTTGTAACACTAGGTCCTGAAAGCAAATATGTTTAAATTAGCAGGTCTGGACAACTTTCCGACTGTAACTGCTGATTCTGCACAGGGTTTGAAGCGTGTATTAAGTCCCAGTGCAGTGGAAGGAAGCTAATGTGGTGCTAGTGCCTAAAAAGGGGAAGGAGAACAAACCAAATTACCCCAGGACCCCAGACAGACTTTGATTTCAGACAGAATAACAGAGCAGCTAATATGAGACTCAGTCAAATTAAGTGGAATAACACACCCAGCGCCAAACACCACAAGTGTATGAGTAATAAACCTCATCAAACTATTGCGGTATCTTTTTTGACAAATTACAAATTTGACTGATAAAAGTAATGTTTTGATGGAGATCAGTTGGCACTTGCATTTGATTTAAAATGCTTTACTGGTTTTCTAACACAAACTAGAGTTAATACTGGAGAAATAGGGCCCACATTAAATATATTAGAACTAGATTATCTCCACATGGAACAGAAACTGGGCAATTATTTGTGTTATTAGCTCAAGGACGGACAAATTCTGGGTATTTTGTTAATAGCCTGAAAGAAAACCAAAAAAAACCATTATTGATAGAGACTGCAACCTACAGAAAGTTTGGGACAGGGTCCAAATAATAAAGAGAACAGGCCACTGTTACAGAACAATACGGATCGCTTGGTGAATAAGCAAAACCACACATACCAACAGGTGCAAAAGTAAGGGCACATACCTCAGAGCAAAAAATGAAGGTTGGACTTAGAGGATGAGGACTGCCTTAGAAAGCAGTAACTCTTTAGATTATCAGCTGAACAAAGCCTGCCCATTTAAAGCAGTGGCTAAAAGATCTAATACGATCCTTTGTTGCACTAACGAGGCAATATAGAGTAGAAACTCCAAATTATTCTGAAATTTAACACAAGCACAACTGTTACTGGGATATTTTGTGGGTTTTGGAGATTCGTAGTTCTCCAGTGATCCTGAAGCACTGCAGAAAGCTAAGAGGAAAGTCAAGAGAAAGATTAGAGGGTTGGAAAATATGCTTATAGTGACTCAAGGTGCTTAAACTGTTTACTTAACCAAAGAGACAGTAAAAGGGAATGTGAGTAGCTACAACAGACCTGAAATTTGATTGACGTGCTCTTAAATCTAGGAGACAAAAGATGTAAAAGTTCCAGGGGCTCGAAATCAGATTCTACAAAAATCCCCACTAACACAGAATGCCCGCTTTTAGCAGTGAAGGTAAATAACTACTTTAACAACCTATCAAAGGCAGTACAAATGTTTTCAAACCAACACAAAATTCCTTTCTGAAAGGAATGCTGCTGTAGTCCAACCGTAGTAAAGCAACTCGAGGCAGGGGCTCGTTTTGGGGGGCACTGGTTTGTGTCCTGCCTGACTAACCAGTCGCGGGGCCTTAAAAAACTGGGAGTCAGACAGCTTGAACGCAGTAGGAGGAGGCAGAAGGTGGACAGGCCAAGCGATTGGAGAGGAAAAGGGCCTTACCTGCTACATTTTGAACAGAGTAGAGAGAAAGAAGAAGTGAAATAGAGAGGCCAAGAGAAGCCCGCCCTAGTCACGGGGAAGAACGACCAAGGCACATCACAGTGGTTGTTCTGCAGCAGCAAGGATGGAGGATCGTGTTTGAGATCTCACAGAAAGAGTTGGTGGGACAGAGTGAATTGCCTGGACAAGAAAAAGGAGAAGATGGGAAAGAACACAAGGAAGGTGCAAGTATGAGTGACAGGACAAACAGTCATGTTGGGAATGATGAAGCAGGGAAGCCAAGGGGCTCTGGCTTTTCTCAGACAAATAGAAAGGTGTGAATGGAAAGAGGAAGGCTGCAAAGGCAGAAAACAAGCAATGCTGAGGATGGATGGAAAAGGTAAAGCGAAGAAAACGCTGAAAAGAGATGGCAAATGTGCAAACACCACTGAGGGACGTAATGTGTCCTCCCTCCCAGGACACAGGCAGCTTAGTCATGTACAACCTATAGAGAAAAGAATAGAAAAGACAGACCTACGGCCGCAGAGGCCAAGGAAGGACAAAAAGGCGAGAGAAACTGTCCAAGTACAGGCATAACAGAAGTCAGCACAGAAGACCAACATAGCACAGTGCATGTCACGCACACTGTCACCAGAGGAGAAAAAGACACGTGCATCAGTGTATCCAGTTCAGGATCACACCCCCATCGCATTCCTGAACTTCACTTCCCAAAGCGGCACAACCACCAGCAACTCCCCTTACTCCCTGATCCATTGGACAGGTCTTTGCAAGCCAAGCCTCAGAGCCTCAGGAAAGGGCTGTTCAGCCCACACGTTAACACAGGGGATTGCAGAGGGTCTCATGTAGCCCACTCCTTCCCAGCAGCTAAACTTCTTTACCTACAGCCACCACAGGGCCTTTATCTCCCATGATGAACCCTCTGACAGATTCTATTTGGCTGACAGAAACCACATGCCCTGATGAGATTTATGGAATCACTGGAGCTTCCTGACATCTTGTATTATCTGTAGACAGGTTGAAAAAATTAAAACAACTGTTCAAGAAGAAGTCACACTGTGCTCCAGGGAGAGGGCATAGCTGGGACAACCAAAGATCTAACAGGCTTTTACAATTATATGGACACATCTGCTGAATTCACTTCACAGAGCTCTTCTCATCCTCTGCGCTGTTCTCAGCAATGGTTTGATGTGGAGAGATACCTACCAGTGAGGTGGATGAGGCCTTGCTCATCTGGGCCAAGACTCTGGCTTCTCCAAAGGCTGTAGCAAGAATCCACAGGACAGGAAAGAGCAATGGCAGGATGGGTAAGACACCATTCACCTGAAAAAAATGTGTAATCACTAGCAAGCACTGAGAGAGTAGGAAGGCAGACCTCACACACAACATCTTTTCCAGCCCAGTGAGAGGATGGGTAAAAGGCAGTGGCAGGAAGGAGGGAGGCTGCTTGCACTGGAAGCAGTGGAACACAGGGAAAAACACCGGAGGGCAGACACACACCCTTAGGCGTTTGTAATGAAGAAGGCCATGAATAAATCACAGCACCTGGCACCCGGTTCTCCTGCAGAATTTTGCATAAACTCTTAAAAATGTAACGGCAAAGGGTATCATATATATACGCATACATGGCAAGTGAGAGAGACCAAACAGTGTAAAGGGCAGTCTAGGAAGAGTGGCCAGGGTAGAGCTGCTGTCCCGCTTCACCGAGAGCTCCCAGATCCAGCACGCACAAGGGCATGGGCAGGACGCTGTCGCAGGATGAAGCAAGTTGCTGAGGGAGGGAATCGGTCTCAGTGGTGCTCTGGGGAGTAGGTGCCGCGGTGCTCAAAGCTCTCCTGTACCTGTAGTTGAAGGAGAGTGTACTGCCAGGAAGCAATCCCAGGAGCTTTGAAAATGAAGCGCACAGCATTGGTGATCAGGAAGCCAGCCTGCAATTCAAACAGAGACGACACTGTCAGTACTCGCAGGGAAGCAGTTTTCACTCCTTGTAACATTCTCAGCCCTGGGAAAGTCTGGAAGATATACTCGGTCTGCTGCTGCAGGTCCTTCCTCCACTCTCGCAGCTAGATGGCTAGATGGCTCAGCATCTTTGCTTCTTTGAACTACCCAAGGTACACACAGAGTCAGCAGTGTGAGCTAGGGCCTCGCCACAACTTCCTGTTGATGGCTGCAAATTCACCTTTATTGACAAAACACGGCCATATTCAACAACAAAGGCTGGAAATGAGACCTACCAGCACAATAGGGACAGCGTACTTCAGCATCACTGACTGCACAGTGAATCTCTCATTATCCAGGGCTGTCACAGGACGTGACAAAGCCATTTCCAGACACCACCTAAAAAATGGAAAACAGCTTGAGATTTCAGCAACCAAGCCCCTAACCTTGCACCTTCCTCAAATATAAACCTCCTAGTAGTCCTGATTAGAACACTGTGTTCACCCTTTGATATGAGGGATGACCTTCAAAAGAGAAGACAAGTTCTACAATAATGGCATTGCACTTGCCAAATGCATGAAATCTGTGACTTCCCTGTATTTTAGTTGGAAAGTAATGAACTGAACAGTAAAACTTAGCACATATGTGGTTTCATATATTAGCCCAACCTACCAGTCAGGGACAACTGAAGATAGACAGTAAGAGATTTATAGCATTCCCAGATAATAGAGAAGACACAGCACAGCATATTTGAAAATTTCTGTCCTGGACTGGTAAATCTCATTCTTTGCCAACACAAGGCAGCAACAAGGACACAAACTGTGCAGGAACTGTGCAAAGCATTTAACCCACCTGACATTATCAATTATTGGGGTCTTCAAGACACGGAAAAGACGATAGAGCTGAGGGTTCTGAGGTCCCTTCTTCACTTCTCCCCTTGGGGAAGGCGGAGGTGAGAAAGGTGGAAACAGATCTCCTGGCTCCAGAACTATGTGCTCATCATCCTAGAAAAAAAGCCAGAAAGCCCAAAGGCTGCACGGTTGGGGCCTCGGTGGAGTCCTGCTGCGAGAGACTGGAGGTTTAGTTCAGCGGGACCCCTCCCACTTCAAATGACACAATACATGTTTGTCACAGGCTCCTCTCTCAGCTCTCAAAAGTTCAATAGCTAAACTCACTAAAACGAAATGTTCAAGCACATCTGGTTATTTCATGTAAATTGGCATTTGGAGTGAAAGTTACAATAAAAACCAACAAAAGTAAATTTCAAGCTTTAAACTTTTTCCAGTCCTCTTCAAGCAGCAAAATCTTTGCATAGATCTTGTAATTCATTTGTTAATTTACTTCTGCCCCTGGTATTTTATATTATCTCGGAATCATTGAATTGTTTAGCTTGAAAAAGACCTTTAAGATTATTGAGTCCAACTGCTAACCCAGCAGTGCCAGGTCCATACTTTTTCATCATAAGTCAGTAAGGAGCAGGCCAAAGCAGACAAACTTTATTTTTCCACATACAGCTCAGGATAAAGTAGGGGGCTTGTATGTCGTATCATCCTAAGGGATAGATTCACTCCGCTTATATTTAGGAGCACATTACAATTTCCCCTTGATCTGGAAGAGATGGAAATCTGGTGCTTTGCTGTCACATTAGTGTCTCCTGTCCATTGGGTTTGGGAGTTCATAAAGAAGATGCAATCTGGCTAATGAAGTACGCCTTGGCTCAACTAGAATTTCAAGCTATCTTCAAGGTCAGAAAAAATCAAATACTCCAAATACGCTGGGAATTAGAGTATTAGCAAGAAAATCCTGGGAATTATATTGTTACAGGCCAGGGACAAGCAAGTTACCTTAATCCCTCTCAGAGAAGCAAATGACTCCTGGCCTGGCCTCAGAGCAATGACATCTCCTTCGACTAACAGGCTGACAGGCAGGTTGACAAGGTGACCATCCCTGTAGGCCCAGTGAAGGGACCAGGATGGGGCATAAGGCATGTGAAGGTCAGGGTACACAGAGTCTGGCCATTTCACCTCTTTGTCGAGTGTATCTGAAAGCACAAAGCGTAAAAGAATTAAGCGATAGCAATTCTGCAGGGGCCAGTCACACAACGATTTACATCCTGTAGTGACTACAGGTCCTCCAGGGCTAAGCTCAGTCTGTTTCCATGATATTTTATCATCTCTCTCTTTCTCCTTGAGCTTTTCCCCTCTTTCTCACCACCCAGCATTAACTAAACATAGTAATTTTATAGCCTTAACCACAAACTTGTACAATTAAAAAGCTAAAGGCTGTCCTTAAAACTGCCGCGCTGAAATGAACTGCCCCCTCGGGTTCAAAAGCCCCCACTAAGACGATGCTCACGCACAGCAATTTATTTCCTTCTGTTCTTTGTTGTGGTACAACCCCACATATTCTTCTTTCATCATCTGCTGCAAGGCAGATATTTTTGTAAGATACTGAGGATTCAAATTACTCCAAAGCACAGACATAACAGACGCCTACCTGATAACACACAGATTGGAAGCACATGGCCACATGACAGCTCAAAATAACTGTTCTGCAGGACAGGCACAAGTAGGACACAATTCTCACAGTCTGTTTCGGTGTAACGTAGGGGAAGGCTAGTAAGCTCAATTAGTAACATATGTGATCAGGTTTGGAGAAAAATCCAATGGGAGGAAAACACAAAGGCAATGAGAGACAGAGGAATGAGACCTCACCATTTATCCTGTCGATGATTGTCTGAAGTCTCCTCTCCACCTCTCTGCACTTCAGCCTCTCTTGACGCCCAATCATGAAGAGATCCAAGAGGAGAAGGAGGAAGAGTGCCAGTGCATTAACTATCTCAGCACCTTGGCTTTGCACAGCAAAACAGAAGAAAGCAGAAAGCAGATGAGTTTGAGTAAATGAAGAGAATACACTGCCAGCCACCCACAGAGATAAATGCATGCTTGCTCAGTTGTTTATTCCTACATCCCATGGACTTATGGCTAAAGAAGAAAACCAGGGGAGCTATGATCACACTTCTTTAACAAAATGCCATCAGAGAAGTCTGAAATGACCTGTCTCAATTTAAAAATACCCTTGCAGTCAAGGCATGCTATTGCACATTGACTTCTGTGAGCCACTAACCTCTCCGGTTTCAAAATCCTTCCCAACTATGATAATGCCTTAGCATTTTTCAAGCTCTAGGGATGCTTTAGAGAAAAAAAAACCCTCAATCTCTCCACAGGACACTCTATGGGTCTACTAGTACAATTAAGTTGGCTGAAGTTTTGTGAAAGGGACTGATAGGGACAGAATTACCAGTGTGAGCACGCTGATGTCTAGATATCTAGACAAAATGAGCGACAATGCTGCTACGCCAGCCAAAGTGTTGAGAGAATATAAAACTACCACCTTTTTCAGTTAACCGGCATAGGATGTTTTGCTTACCTCCCCTGGGGCTGGCTCCCATAGCAGCACAGCAGCAACAGCACTGCCAGAAGCATCAGAGACACACCAGGCCAATGGAAACAGGAGCAACGGTTACCATGGTACAGAAAACTGCTCCTCCACACCTCCTAGGAAAGGAGAGCAGCAGACAGTCAGCATTCACGAAATACAGAGCCAGATGTTCTAAAGAGCAGAGCATGAAGGAGTGAAGGCAGCAGTTGACGCTCCAGGGTGGACACAACCTTGTAAAACCCCTGACCACGACAAAGAGCTCCCTAGATCAGCTACGGGAGTGCTACAGCACTAATGGCTGCTCAGCTGGCAAGTCCGGGTGAACACTCTCTGCTTTACTCTTGCTCGGAAGAACGAAAAGGCTCCTGTGCTAGGCTGCCCCGCTGCCAGTAACCAACCAAGAAACACTTTTAACATCTAAATACTGCGCACTAGCACTTTGTATTCAATGCACACACCAAAGAAACGTGGCAGACAAGGGCTGATGAGTTTCACAGCTCTTTCTCTCCACCTGATATGGATACTCCAGGCACAACTGCCATTCCTGGCTCTTGAAGCTCTGAGATCCTTCGCAGGTGATGCTAAGCTCCTGCTGAGCTCCAGCACTCAGGAAAGAAGTGCTGGGAGAAACACACTCTTAGGTGTGTTCCCTGCTTTGTTCCCAAGGACTTTAGCAATTCTACACCCAGACACTTTGCAGCAGCAGTCTGGGAGGGAATGCAGCCAAATTTCATTTAATTTTCAGCCTTAGTCTGAGAAGGGGAGACCAAGTGCCCAACCTCGTGCTGTTTGGTGCCTCACCTTCCACGAAGTCACTTTTTTCCTTTCCTTCTGATGCCCCTCCAGCAGTGCTGACAACTGGTCTCTCAGGATCGTGAGGGCTTTCTTTGTGGTAAGGCCCAAACTTGAGGTCATCTCATCCTGAGGTGCCAGAAAAACAAACTGGTTAGTGCTTCCCTATTTTCTTTTTAGGCTCTTCCCTGGTGGCTTGACTGAGCACCCTACCGTGAATGGCTTGCATTCATCATCACCCGTCTGAGTCTCTGTTTTCCTGAAATCATCTTCCCTCCTGTGAACTTTAGACTGCTGGCTGGAATTAGAGCACTTAGATAATATCAGGTAAACAAACCGGTCCTGACTGTGCTGGATAAATACTTTATCAAAGCACAATACTAAGTTATTTCTGTGAAACAAGATTCTAATCAGCAGAGGCTGGGGACAATACAAAGGGAGGCTGCTCAGCTCTGAGGTTACGCAGGCTCGAACTGGTATCAGCTAGCAGAGACACCAGAACACAGCTATGGTAGAATTTTAATGATACATGTAGATTTTGCTAACAGTAGTAACAACTGAGCAGTAGGAATATCTGCAACTCTAAACAAGTGAGGTCCAGTTTCCACAACTGGTCATTATGAATTTTTGGTTACGAATCCTGCCTCTGTGGCTACTTTGACACAGAAGCCCCCAGATTTCCATGCTGGGCCAGGGATCAGTTCAGGAGGCGACACAACTCCAGCATCAGCACAACCTGCAGCAGTGCTTCTGCTCTTCAGGAGCTGCTTGTACGCACCCAGCTCTGCAGGGGCAGCTCAGCTATGATCTTTACTTTTCTTCCTGTTCTTTAACTGAGTGGTTTCATGATGAACATTTATCAGGAACTAATCTTGGACTTCAGACTCATTTGCAGTGATGGTCCAATCCAAAACCGTAACGTGTCAAGGAACAGCAGATAGATGCTCTTTAAACCGCCATCTACCACACACACACTCCCCACTATCAGGTGCCAATCTGAAACAGCAGTTTCTGGCCAGGCAGAGTCTAGCAATGCTGCTTTAGCTGCACTTTTACAGAACTAAAAATAATCTTGCTGTAGTTTTCATTCTCTGTGTCAGTTTTAGGAATAAAGGAAGCGGTTCTGTGTTGTTCTTGGAAGCAGCCCAGGTAACATCAGCACAGGACTAAACAGAGGAGTCTCTCAAAGACTCCCAGAGGAGAAGATGGCAGCAGCAGAGCTGGCAAGAGATGTGCTCCTGCACCACGGCAGTGCTGCAAACATGAGTGCCTGAGAGCAACGTGGGCCAAGTGACAATAAGGTTTCTCTCTCTGCTGGCTGTTTGGGGCATAGCAAAGCACCCACCAAAACATGCAGCCTCTCCAACACGGGGAAAGCAGACAGCTGAACAAAAGACACAGAATGAAAGGCAGCAATAATAAGATGGACTTCAAATGAAATGCAAAGTCTGCTTAAACAAGCTGATTCTAATGGATACATCAAGAGCTCCAGGAGAAACCAGAGGAAAGCTGCGCTTAATGCCAACATCTGGTACAGTCACACACTGCCTGGCAAGAGAAACTGCCACGTCACAGCAGGCAGCGAGCAGAAAAAGGCAGCAAATCCAGAGGTAATAAAGGTTGCTGAAACACTTGCACACCTGCTCCAGTCTTTACACAGGAGTTACTGTTTTGCCACAGTATCAGTCAAGGCAAGGGCAGCCAGAAAGGAAGGTGGCCGCAGCAGGTGAGAAGGGACAAGTGCAGAGCGTGGCTGGCTGGGCAAGGAGGGCAGGAAAGGCAGGGTTTGTTAAACACCCATCCGGACACTTAAAACATGGAGTATTCGGCAAAGCAGGCAGAGCCAGCTGGTAAACAAACCCTGTAATAACGTGAGTGCGAGGCTGCCTTCGGCGACTGGGATCACCTGCTGCCGGTGAGCATCACGGAAAGCGTCTGGAACCAAGGAATGAAAGGGGCAGATGAGAAGAGCCACCCTGTGCTCCTGGCAAGGGGCAGCTCCAGGTTTCCGAAACAAGAGCTGCCCTGCTAAGTCATCAACTGCTAATGAGGCAATTTTCAATTGCCCTAAAGAGCACCTTTGTAAATGGCAAGCCTAGGCGCTTGTAAGCTGTCCCAGAGGGATCCTTCCAGCCTTTCATCAGCTGCAAGTGCTCTTCCTGCCACAAAGCGGGAGGTGAGCACCCCAGGGTGAAGAAGCCATTCACAGGAAGTGTCAGTTCTTTAACAAAAACCCCAACATTCACATCTTTCCTTCAGAAAGTCGCATTCAAAGAGCCATCCGCTAATTTTCAAGTCAAACAAAAACCAGCAAGACGTCTTTCCACCGAGGGTTTCCTCTGAAGAATAAAAACCAGACAGTAAATTCAAGGTTACAGTGAAAGTAAACCCTGATCTGGAGGCATTTTAAAAGGCTCTACTTTCCTTTGGCCCCTGCCTAAAGGGAAAAAGTCCTGAGCAGAAAATGAGCACTTGCTTCCTGCTTTGCCCCGAGAGGCTGGAGAGCACACACTCCTCAAAGTGCACTTACGGCTCCTCCGGAGCTGACCCCTGCCCCAGCGATCGCAGCCTCAGCCCGAGAGGCGCGGCCGACACCAGGTAAACACGGATGGTGCCACGGCTCTCAGGAGCTGTGATCTGCAGGAAAGACACATGGAGCAGGAAACTTTCTGTGCCTGTACTTTTATTTTCTAGAGGGAATGAATGTACTGAGGTGTGGATTGGATGAGAAGATGAAAAGATGCATGAATTTCTCCACTTCCAGCAAATATCCAACACGTTAAATTACTGGTTAGTTTGCCTGAAAACATTAGGGAAACGGACCCTGAGCTAGGATCTAGCAAACGCCCCCATTCAGGACCTGGTTTGGCTCTCAGGAAGGAGACAAGCAGCAGCTCAGAGCTAGGACCCACAGTAGCTGTAGACCTGACTTTGCCTTCTCCTCCCAGCTGGCACTCCACAGTTTGACAGGGAGAAACTGGATGGCAAACACCCAGTGGTCTAGAAGGTTGCTTAGATCGGTAGCCTTGCCTGGCTCACAGCAAAAAAAAGTTCCCTTTGTCTTCCTCATGGGTTGCACGAGCCTTTTCAGACTGACAGGTAGGAGAAGAGTGGTTATCTGCTGATTTTTCTTCTCACAATGTGAAGTTGTTCCTGAGCATCATCACCTACCTGTGTCTACCTCCTGCAGCCCAGCTTCATCCTCACACAGAATCATCACTGGTTCCTGATCTCTCCTTCTAAAATACCCATCCTCTTCTTTTACACACAGAATCAATGAAACATATCTTAAAAGCTTATTTGCTCTTCTCACATTCTCTGCTATGCAATGAAAGAGAGGTCTCGCTCCTTCCTTCAAGAGGAACAAACAAGCAGGGGTCAGAATGTATACAGGTGAGAAACGGACGCAAAATATTAATATAATTAAGTCCTCTTGTATTTTCATACACCCATTACACACATTTGTTGCACTAGTAAATGTTGATATAATTTGTGGTGTTGTATCACACGTGCCAAATTATTTTTCTTCAACTAATACTGGAACACAAATACATTCTTTGCTTTACAGAGCAAAGTAGGTTGAATCATGTTCCGTCCGCTGTGGATTTGAGTCTCTTGCAGAATAAGGGCTTCTCACCAAGACTGCTGTATACTTGAATGTAACTGCCTTCCCAAAGATTGTTTGAACAAATAAGGTAATAGAAAACAGAAGATGTGCTAGAAGCTTCAATTTTCATTGACTGCAGATCCACCCCTCTGATTCAGAGCCGTATGGGACACCCCTACAAGGCAGCTGTCAGATTGTTTCCCTCTCTCCAGGCTGCACACACTGGGCCCCTTTTTTAACACTTCTACTGAACTGCTTTTCAGATTTAAGCAGTTGGAAGTGAGAAACTGGGCAGCAGAACGTTCTTCCTTTTTCTGAGAGCTATTTTGCATTCCCTAGCAGAAGAAGGCAGGTTTTAATCTGACAATGACATTTTGCAGGCTATTAATCCACTTCAGGGATTACACCTCCTGAAATGTAAGCATTATGCACAGTTTCAAAAACACCCAAGAAGGAGTAACTCCACCAAATATATTTTCATTTAGTACTGTAAGTTAGATCTCTGCTTAGGATAAAGCACAATATGACACACAGGGGTGGGGTTTTTTGGGTCTCATCAGAGAGGATGGCAGACATCAGACACACAACAGCATGCAGTTTTTGGGTTGAGATTCCTTACAGCAGGCGAGCGCTAGAGAGGGATTTATTCTTGTTCTAAAGCAAATCATACATCAGAACATCACAGCTCTGTCCAACTGCGGCTGCTGAGCCAGTGCTCCGACTGCCTGAAACGGCACGTGCGCGCTTTGGGATGACGCAGATACAGCCAGAAAAGCCAATGTCCAGGTCACCCTGGGCAAAAGTTTTTCCTTTGCTACCTACAACCTCAGTCCTGATTATGCTTTTTGTCATTTCTAGTGCTAGTTACTTTTCAAAAGAAGTGTGATCCCTGCCTCCTAGCGAGAGTGCTTCTCTTGTGATCCAGACGTACATGAAGCCTTCACTCTGACAAGTTCCTACTCCTCAGAATGATCTTTTGGTTAAGACTCTTGACTAACTGTTAGGATAGCTGGACTCTGTTCTTCCTTCTGCCTCAGGTTCCTGCATGACAGTGTGAAAATCAGATGCTCCTCTGTGCCTTAGTTTCTAATTTCTGTAATGGGACTACCAACTCCCTACCAGCTGCAGTCACTGTGATTATAATATTCACCAACCCACCTGAACACTACTGGAAAGCACAGAAAAAAGAAATATGTGTTGCTACCTGCACGATCCAGGCAGCTCCATCCAGCAGATCACAGCCCTGTGGGGACCACTGCCTTTAAAACTGGACATGCTGGGAAATGCACCAGAAGGCACAACAAACACAGCTATTAAACTTGGTTTAAATGCCACCTGACGTGAGCTTGGCAGGCACAGCTTAGCTGTTGGTGGTCTCAAATCAAATGAAACAAGCAAAGTCTTCAGCACAGCAGTGCTCAAATTAATGGACGGAGCAACAGTCAACAACTCTCTCCTTCCTCCATCTGCAGCAAGAGCACAGAAGGCAGCCCAGACCTCCCCCTGCCCTTGGACAAAAGAGCCCTCCCAGTTTGGTGACGGGGTGCCAGCAGGGCTCCAGAGTGGACACCAGCTTTGAGGCTCCCTGCAGGTCATCACTAACAGGCCCTGCAGATTTAACACTGCAAAGAGACACAGCTGCAGGAGCACAGAGCTCTGAGAGATCTGCCCACAGCAATGCTAACCAGCCGTCTGAACCACCACTGCATTTTGGTGTGAACAGAGTCCATTTTAATCCAGACAATGATAGTCACATTTATGCCCTCTATAAAGCCCGGAGTAAGACGCCAAGAGGCACAAACGACCTCTCTACCCAGGTAATGCAAAGTGCGGCACCTCGCTTCTCCCTCAGCTAGCGGCAGCTCAGTGGCAGAGAGAGGCGGCACCAGCCCAGTTTAGAATCACACACTCCTCAGTCTGTCTCTTCAGCAAATCCCCAACCATAGTTACCTGCCCCACCAGGCTGCTGGCAGGCTGAGGCAGTGTTTATGCAGTGCTTTGAAGCTCACCTGTACTACGCAATTACCAAGCTTTAATTACTGTTATTTATCCAGTTACATTATTCCTCCAAGTTCAGAGAGCAGTTAGGGGGTCTGTATTTCTTCTGGCTTCAACACACAGCCTAATGCTTCACGCCAATGCAGAGCTTACCCCAGAGGCTGCTAATCCCCTCCCAGAGGCGAGCAATGCTCAGAAATCCATGGAACTTCAGCACCTTTCATCGCCCTTCCTTCCCATCCCCACTCCTTCAGCTGAAGACTTTGGGGATTAAAACTATGATACAACCTAACAGGTGCACTGTGAGGTGCATTTCAAAGGGATAAGGAGGCTCAACAGCTACAGATCAAAGCCCATAAAAGCAAAAAATTTAAGTCACGATGCAGAGGGGCAGCAAAGCAAGAGTCAGCAACTAAAATCATGTTTCGTTCCTCCCGTTAGTTCTAGGGTTAAACCTGCAGTTTAAAGCAGAGCTTCTCTCCCCATAACCCGCAACACCAAGCCATTCCCTAGCTAAAATCATCATTCACTGCTTCATGTCCTGCCATAACCTCTTTCCCCCAAACCTCAAAGCTCTTCATGCACCATCACATCAGGCAGGATGCAGGCTGGGGAGGCAGACAGGGAAAGCCATTTTGAATTTAAATGTTAAGGGAGAGAAACTTACTTTGTGGCATTTGCCTTGGTGGGGGATCCAGAGATCAGCCTGCTTGAAGAGCATCTGGGCTAAATTCCTGCACCGCTTCCCCAGTAAGTTGCACTGCTGCCGCCCTCCAAAAATGAGAGAGCAAAGAGGGAGAGAGAGCAAGACTGTGCAGAGCTCAGCGCTGCAGAGAATGAGACAGAAGCAGCAGAGTGAAGCACCAGTCTGCTGATTAATTCAGCCTGTTTCCAGTCACGCTGCAGATCCAGCAAGGAGGCGGTGGATGGGGGTGGGGGATGAGGGAGAGAAAGGGGAGGGGGGGAAAGGCAGAAAGAGAAGAAAGTTTGCCCAGGATAGCACCAGATGTCTATGAGAATGGTTCATTCATCAGATGGAGTCGACACAGCCAGAATCCCTGGGTTCCCTGCCTGTAGAGATGCATATGCATGCACAGTAAAGGTTGATGCTGACAGACTCCTGTCTGCAGAAAAGCAGATGGCAAATTAGACAGGACAAAGTGCTATAAAATGTACTACAGGGGAAGGAACACCTGAGCAGGCAAGGAAAAAGACTAGATTGAGACAGAGAGACCCAAAAATACTAACTCACCTACATAAATCTAAGAGAATCTTCCAGATGACTCCACAGTTTTGGATTCAAGCTCAATTTAAAAATGGAGCATTTGCTATTTAAACAAGTTGAGGTGGTTACAGGTACAGTCTGAAGTGTTCTCTCCCTCTTCTCTTATTGATAAAGCAGCATATACATCCTGAGCCACATAATCCTAACCAAAATCTGCATGTAAATTCTTCACAGGCACGTGCCTGGGGCTCTTCGCTTACTGACACTTGGGCAGTGGCACAGAGAAGGTAAAGGATTAGTGTAGACAAGGAAGGGCTGGGTAGAACAACAGGTAATGGGATAAAAAGGTCCTTGAAGGTGGAGTGAGCCTTCTCTCTCATTCTTATCTTTTACAGGAATGCTTCCTTCTCATTGCCGGAGGGAAGCACCTTTCTAAGTGGGTTTTTATATAGCTCCTGCTTCAGTGCTGTCCTAATTCTGGTTTGAGGCTTCTCAGCTCTGTAGAGCAATTACTTTCATTCCACAACGAAAGCGGTGAAGAACTGGCCCAGCCGAGAACCACGTCAACAGCTTGCCAAGGATTAGAGCTGGCTGGTTCAGCACGGAGCAGACAGGCACTGCAAAGGCTTCCAGCCAGAGCTTGCTTTGAAGGCCATATACAGGTGTCAGGACTCACCTGCCCTCACCGACCAAGCTCTTCACTTCCTCTCTTCCCCTGAGATTCAGATGCCCCACCAGGCACAGCCCATATTCTGTGTTTAGAGCCCAAAGTGCAAAGATTAAAAGGTCTCGATATTTATAATACCCCCAATGCAGGGTCTAGTTACAACTTCAGTGTTGGCACGGAGTTACACATCGGTACATGACCTCACAAAGCTCTTAAAGCCAAAGCTGAAGGGAAGCAGACACTGCATTTAACATAACTTTGGGAGAAAGCAGGGGGAAAAAGAGGCACAACACTCTTCATCCTTCTGTAGGGCATTTTGTTTCCTAGACAACAATTTTAAACGGCAGAGAGGAACAAAATGTCCTAATGGCACAACATTTCCTTCCTGCCTGCCTCTTTTCCTGCTCACCTACTTACTTCAACACAAAGAAGAAAGGAGAAAAAAAGAAAGAATCAAGAGCGTGGGCTAAGAAGGGATAAACCCTCACACAACATACACGTAACACTCTCTGTTATCTCAGTGCCTGCTCATCTGTTTCCCATGGCTGGAGACTCTTCTAGAGACTCGAATGTGAATAAAACAACTTGCTGGTGACGGTGCAGTACCTGGAATAGCCCTTGTGCTTCACGCAGTTGAGAGATCGCAACACAACTTTCTTCCAGCCCCAAACCTCCAGCTTTGGTTGTGGACACAAATGGAAACGGATCAAATTGCCTCTAGTTGTTTACCCCACTGTTGAGAGACCTTGCTCTAAAAGTGTTTTGTGTAGGGCAGTAATTTGTACTATGTAGCTTCCTCCTGCTATCAGTGGTATCATAAATTGCACCTGGACATGCAGTCCTGCATTAAATAACAGAATGAAAGAGCAGAAACTGTCAACTTGAGATCTGAAGATAGAACTGTGGCTTGAAATAAAAGGCTGAGTATGAAGGCAAGGGCTGAGACCTCTAGAAACTGATGAGAGGGAAAAGGATCAGTTTGTGAAAAAAGCCCTTGGAAGAAGAACTCGCATTTTAGAGAACAGCAGGGAATATAACCAGAGATACAGTTACAGTCAAGATGAGAAGAGGCACAGCACTCGGGCTACTTTTCAGTCCAAAGGTAAGATTGCATCCCGGAACAGGACAGCTCAAGACCAACACGTGCTGCAGCTGGGGAGCACAGCACCGGCTCCCTCAACACGTTTCTGGGCTCTGGGCAGGTGGCGCGGTGCTGTAGCCAGGCTGCAGCAACTACACTGGGATTGTACAGCTCAGTTGTTATTGGTAACGGTGGAATGGATGATGACAATAATTTTTAATAGTTTTGTTGCTGCAAATACAGCCCACACCTAAAGTAACTCAAACTCATGAGCCTCACGTTGTCCTGTGGCAATCGGTGCTGCTGTCTGTCTTGGTATATGCTGAATGGGACTTGGAGCAAAGATTCTGGCACCTTTCACAAGTATTAAATTCACCTCAGAAATACACGGAAAATTAAAAAGTCAGGAGAAGAGCAGAAAAAACAAGATATCAGCACATTTCATTTAAGAAGGTTTTGGCATTGCTCCTAAAGTACTCTCTGCCTTTCTCTGCAGTGTCTGGCTTCTGGCGAGGCAGCCTACACTACACCTGACAAACTCTGATCCTCAGCCATTTCTGACAACAGAACTGGATGAGCTGACTGGAGCCAGAGGAGAAGGCTCTCATCTTCTGAGTGACAGATGACTGCGCTGCAGCAGTGATCTGAGCACATCTGCTGGTCCAGGAGTGCTAACTCTTCATCACACACGTATATTAGAGCAAAGAGAGTGCTTCCAACTAGATTTGGGATTGGTGTTTTTACTTGGGTTCATTTTATTTTTAGCATTTTAAAAATAAACCTAGAACATCAAATCTACTACTGAGGTTACATAGCAGGTTAATTTGTTCCTTTATGAGCATATGTGTGTCCACGTTCTTCACTGTGGAAAGGAAGAAAGATTCCACCTCAAAGTGGATGAAATAAGGATCTCCAGTACTGAAAAAAAAATAGGAACAAACTCCTTGATATCAAATAATATACGGCTAACAAGAATAAACCCACTATTTTTTCCTCAAAATGCAAAATAAGTTGTAAAATGCAGCTGTATGTATATATTATTTTTAATTTCCATTGAAAAAAGGGTGATGATTTCTTGCCTTCACTTTTAACAGCCATTCTGATAGGAGGGAGAAAAATCTTCACCAAGGAGGAGACTAGGACATCAGAACACCATGATTCCATCTGTAATCTCCCTGAGCAGGACATTTTCCTAACAGGAATTCCCACATTACAATACTGTCCACGCTGCTGCCTGTCCAGCAATTTGATATGTTCTTCATGCATTGTACAATGAAGAATATCCTAAGAGAAAGAGCGAGATGAACTAAAGATAGTGACCTACAGTGAAAGTGTCCCCGCTGTGCTCTGCCGTGGCTGCAGCACTGCCAGTGTTGGTGCTCTTGGATCCTGCACAGAACATACTCCTGTACGGAACGGTAACTGCGTCATCTCTTAAAATGATCAATCCCAGATTAGCCCATGATGTCATTAACAAGACAATAAATAGATAATTATCCTCATTGGAATGTTACCTCCACAATAATACAACAATTTGACACAAAACAGCATAGTTCAAACACGTCCTCTGAGCACACCAGTACCAAGAGGTTCAGGCACGAGGAAGCCAGGCCTCCCTGGCCTAGCACACTACAGAGCAGACAACCCAGCAAAAAAGAAGTGTAGCAGGCAAGTGCAAGAGCTGATGTGAAAATCTCAGTACCTTTTAAGGCACACTGCTGCAGTAATCTTTTAGAGCAGATGTGAGTTTAGGTGATTATCTAACAGGTACTTTGCACTAATGAACAAAACCCCCTCTCAGTGCTGGAAGCCCTGTAAAAAGGAACATCAAGAAAGGGCTGCACACAGTAACAGAGAAGCAGCCAACACAGCCTGGCAGAGAAACCTTGCGGTGTGGTGGACAGAGGGACACCGAAAAGGGAAGCCAAGAATGTTCTCTTACCAGAGCCAGCTGAGAGCTTGGCATGTATAATGTTCTCCACTGGTCTCAAACTACCTGTCCCACTTCTGAGTGGCATCCAGAATAAGGACCAGTTCACTTTTTTGAGTGAGAAATACATTTAACATTCAGGCTGCCGCTGAAACATGGTTAAAACGTAAGTGACCAGTAGACTACTCACTAAGTGATCAAAACCATTTTACTTTTGAGACGTAGTAACATGTGCCAAGTTTACCGTCTCCTGCCAGCCATAGCAGATAGGTCTTTTCAGCTTCTCTAGCAGCTATTCATGAGGGTCTCTCTCTCCTCTTTCTCTTTGAAGCTCAAAGCATGGCAAGATAGAAAGGAACAGATTGCCCCTCCATACAATATCTAGACTTATCTGGCACTTTCTGAACAAGATCTAAAAATACTATCCTGCAGCACTCCTTAGAAAGACATGCAATTGCCCAAGAAATAAATACACTTAGCATCGGAAAAAAATGGCCTCGGATGATTTCATGACCTTGATTAATTTTAAAAAATCTCTCAAATAAAGCAAATCTAAGTGTCCAGGGGCCTGAAGCCCTACCTTAAGCTTCAAAAAAGACAGCATATATGACAGCATATATTTCATCTGTGTTGTTCCACCACGATGCCTCAGTCTGAGCCTGCGAAGGACTTACCTACTGAGACAAGCACGTACACCTCTAGGAATGTGAAGCCGACAGAACTCTCAACTTTGAAAATAGCTATGGATTATACCATCGTATAAGAACATTAAAGGGTGAGACTTGACACAATATAATGAAAGAGAATTAAAAGGACTCAATATTTAAGTTGAGTTCCTTATCAGGAAACCTACCTGACACTTCTCCTTGAGGTCCATGGCTTAGCAGTGCTGTCAGCATGTCCAGCCAAAGGGGACTGCTCCTCAGCAGAGATGTCTCCTAGGTAGAGATGAGCTTGGCTACACCTATCACATCACCATCTGTGGAAACAGAAGGAGCAGCAGTCAATCTCCTGTCATTCCCTTCAGGACAAGAAAGTGAGGAAATTCACAAAATTCAAATTACAGGACTGATCTTTAAAAGAAGGAAACCTGGGGAGCTGAAAATGTTTTTAATGCACACCAACTCTCCCCTTACTCAGAACTGGCCCCATAAGCTTCACTGCCCCCCCAAAACTGGCAGCAGTAGGTGAATTAAGTTCCCTGCAGCTCAGAGTAGCCCTGACACACTTTTAGGCAAGCCTCCAAAAAAAGCTGACAAAGCACTAGATTCCACCAGGTGTTGGCGCATGCTGTCACCCACGGCTATTTGTCTTGCTATTCTTATCTGCCAGGAGCTTTGTCCAGCTAATCTCTAATGGAGCCTGCAGTAATGATTCTTCCATTTGCCGAACAACACATCCAATCTTTGACAAGGCTACGGCGGGCTGAGCATGGATCTGACCATTATTAAGTAGGCCAGAAGTCATAAAAACAATTCCAGGTTATCAGGGAACTAATTTTTTGTTTTGGTTTGGTTTTCTTTTTAGCAAAACTGAGACTCTTAACAGAACTGAGATAGGAAGCAACTCTGGAATTCACACCCTTCTTCTAGCCCGTATTTCCTGTGATCTCCCATGGCACACGTTTCTTCTTCTTCCACATATACAAAATGTCTTTTCTGGTCAAAACAACAGATCTGTGTACATTGCTCCAGAGGATTCTCTTACCTATAAACACAAAGAGATATTATAAAATGATGTTATGCTATGATAAGATGATGCTTACAGCACCGTGCTCTGTGATGCTACATCATTTCAAGGAAAACAAAAGGCATCCAAAGTTTACTTAGAAAGCCACTACTGCCCCACGCTGCAGAGTTAGATGTCGGTATTTCCTCTCATGCAGGCAAGTCCTGCACCTGCATTCTGGGAGGCAGCAGGCAGTCAGTATTCAGCTTGCTGGGTATGAAAAACTGCTTCCAGTACCGCAACCAGCACCTGCAAGTGCCGTTTCTTCACTGCCGGCTGGCTGGCATGAGCCACAAGTTTGGATCTGCCCTACTTTTCTGTTCTGTGACCCTTGTCAGTGTGCACACACCAAGGGAATGAAGCTATTTTCAGTCACTTCGCGTTCCTGCCAGGCCAATTAGCAATTGCAAAGAGAAGATCAGACAAAGTTACTGGACCGAAGCTGACAAAGAGTGCTGGAAGTGGGAAGGAGGGAAACGTGTTTTTGTCTGCTTGCACACAGGAGCTTAGAGCCTCAGTGCTTGCCTTTAAATAGAGAGTGATTTCAAGATAAGGGAAGATAAGAGATGATTTTTAAGGAGAAAATGGTCACTAATAATAAAAGGACTAGAGAAATAAATCCACGATTCGTGTTTTTACTCGCCGCCGGCAGAAGATTTATTAGTAGATCCACTGAAGGATTTACACACCACACTCTCCCTCGTTCAAACCAAAGTTAACCGGCTGAATTTCTGGAGCTGGACTTCAAAAGTAGAATTATCTGTGACACAACTGGGTAACCAGGAAGCCAAAGTCACGGAGGCAGAATACAAGAAAACATCCTGGACTGTTGGTGCTAATCCCACGGAGCCTGTCTCATTAGCAGTGCTGGGTGGCGCTGGCTGGAGGGCAGGGGCTGTGCCAGGAGGCAGGATTTGCTGCACTGCCCTGAGGGACATTCTGGTTTAGGCAGCAAACTGAGATGTAATCCTGGCTGCTCAGCACCCCTTCCTTAAAGTTCAAGGTACGTCATCCGCCTGCTCAGGAACACCACCGGGAAGGCCTTCAGTGCTGGGAAGCAGGATACACAGTGAGGGTGTTACAAAGCTGAAATACTGGTTGGAATGAGTGAATACTCACTAGCGAGAAGAATTCAAAAGCTGTTGTAACGAGCAATATAACAAGAGTTTGCAAAAGTAATCAGTGGTGTATGCAGCCATGCTTCATCATTATACATGCTCAGGGCTTCTCCAAAATTTAAACAAACTGACCCGAAACCCAGAAGCAGTCCAGTTTCTCTCATATCCCCAGTTTCAGGTGCCAACAATGGTCAGATTGCAAACATTTCAAACAATGAAAGCAAAGAAGCCAATTCTTTCCTGTGCCAATCTGGATATACAAAACTAGCAGAGTATTTCATTTTTCAAAGTGGAATTACATTTTTCAAAAGAGTTTTCATTTAGAACCAATTATTCCAAACACAGTTTTTCCTAGATAGGTTAGAATATCTCAGTATTAGGATAACTGAAACCAAAAGCAAAGACTGGCTGCAATGATAAATCATCTTCCCTCAATTTCTGCACCAGGATTGGCACTGGAGCCATATAAAACATGATTTGTGTGCTTTCTTTCAAATGCATAATTTGGAAAAAAACCCAAAACTTCAGAATAAAGACCCTGCAAGCATGTTTGCAAGAATTACGTCGTACCTACTATAAACTTCATATGCCTTACAGAGGTCTTGCAAGCACTAAAAAACCAGCTTCACACAATTAAGCTCAAGAATTCTGTAGGTAATGTGCAGATCTGGAAAGATAAACACATTCCTTCATTCCATCCCCCACAAGGTCCTTGTGTGCTCCCCTTTCAGACTCTTCTGTTTCAGGGACTCCTGTAATTCCCACCACCAGCTGTGTCTCATCACCCCTACCCAGCAGCACACTCTGGACCCACCCTAGGAGTTCTGTGTCCTGGTATTTCTTCCACACTGGGTATCTGTCTTCTTCTGTTCTCCCTGTTCTTATCTCTCCTCCGTCTGCCCACTCACTCACTCACGCGTCAACAAGTTAAACTCTTTCAGATAGTAGGACAGAAACGAAGTGGGATTGCTTTGCCAGAACATGTTAGGGGGCGCCAAGTATTGAGGTGCAGTCAGAGACGCCTGAAGCTGTGGTTGCGCTAATCAAGAGACCAGAGGCTCCCAGTTTACCCCTTTCACTTGCCCAGCACACTGCATCCTCCTCGTGATTCTCACGCCTGGAGCAGTCCACGAAACCTGGAAATGGCTGGATGTGGTGTTAATGTGGAAGTGTCATTATGCCGCATTCAGCCTGAGAAATACTTGAAATCATTATGTAGAGTGAAGCGCAACATCGGGTCCACTAGGTACTCCAATACACATATCACTAACAGCAAGCCAACCTTCTGGAAATCCTGTATGCCAAACTGGGCCAGTAGTCAGCACACAGGTGCATGGAGAAGTCTGCAATGCACGTTGGAATATTTTATGAGTTCAGTGCTTGGGTTGACAGGTGTAGCTGATATCCAGACCTTTTCAAACCTGAAAAATACATTCCCATCACCTCAAACTTATTTCTGTTTGGAAGTCCCGAGTGAAAATTAAGTCTTGTAGCTTGATCTGATTATCTACAAGGGTTGAAAACATCCTTCCCAAATAACACTGTCTTACGCAGTCGGTGTATTTACACAGGTAATAAACATTGTGCTTTCAATGAAACCCAAGAATTTCAAAGCACAAGAACCAAACCTCACAACATCAGTATGAAACATCTGTGTTGAATAAGAAACCATACAGCATGATACCTTATGTGCAGAACTTATAAAACTAGCAAACAGAAAAATAGATAACTATACAACCTATAGATACTTGGAAAGAAGAATGTGTTTCAGAAGCTGCAAGTCTTCAGAAGCTGCAAGGGAGAAAAATAAATCAACCTAATGGTACTGCTTTCCCTGAAGTGTTCAGTCACTGATGCTTTCATGCTATTTACTGAAAATTCCCAACATAGATTAGTCTAAGAAAAATGATGGGGAGTCTGAACATTTCTTGCTGCCAAAAGTGAATTCCTCAAGACAGAAGCCTGATCTGTCACTGAAAATAGAAACACGGGGGAACATATAATAACCAAAAAAAGCAGCTGACTTGGAGAAAATGGCTCAGATTAGAGCTGACTGTTTTGATACCAGTAGAACCATCCAGTCTTCCTACTCACAAGCAGCTGATGTCTGCCTAATAATTTGCACCACGGGCACATTTGCTGATCTCTGGGCTTCCAAAGGTGCAGCAAGTGATGCTGACAATTGCTTTGAGACCCACTGAGAGCACAGAATAATTACAGCAAGGGAGCTGGCAGCCATGCTTCTTGGCTTCAGTATCTGCTTGTGGAAAAAAAATTGTCAAAATTTGGGTGAGCTAAACATTCTCTGCCTCAGTAACCTTTGATTAAGAGACAGGGATATGTATATCTGCTTCAGAGAGAAACTGTGAAGTAATTTATTAGTATCTGTAAAGTGAGATCATCTGAACTAATGTTGTATATGTGCTAAGTATTATCAACTCAGTAGTGCTCAAATAGCTCATTTGTACACGGCTGTGAAGAATCAGGAGTGTATTTCACACACATTCTGCTTCCTTTGCCAATTGACAGGAATTAGGGAGAGTGCTCTATTCTACCTTTAATCAGCAACAGGATTGAACTTGAACTTAAAATTTGTCTTCCAACTGTTAAGTATGCCTCTTGAGGGTGAAACCAGTTTTCGTTTAAACCTTACTTGCTGAGAGTTTTCCAGTAAAAAATATCTCTCCTTCCTTTTTTTCCTCAGCACAGGACTTGAACATTAGACTTGTTTCAAAGGACAGTGGTGGCTTAAAACAAAAAGCTGAGCAACAGGGAGGGAGGAGTAGGAAATAGTTTTGTATTATAGACTTGCAAGAGTCAGACCACCAGGTTACTTGCAAGAGTAAGAATGGTGAAACAAGATGCTACACAATCCAAAGAACACATTTATTTTTGTTTTAATTTTGTTCTGACAAGTTGGCAAGTAATTGGCGGATATGGTCAAAAGGATGATGAAACTAGTTCAGTCTTTCCAAAGGAGCTGACACTGTTTCAAATCAAGGTACAGTAAATCAAAAGATCTTTGCTGTGT